GATAATCAAAGACCTATCCACTACTTGCACTCTCCAACAAACAAGGTTATTAAACACTAAAATATGATGATACTCAAGAAAGTATATTTTATATTAATCAATGGATGGATACCTACATTTTTGTAGGTTGAAGTAGTACAAACAAAAATATAGTTAATAAATTATACACCAATACAATCAAATCAGGATGTCATATTAAAAGAAGTCTTCACAAGCATCAAACCAAATTTAGCCTATTTTATATTTTTAGATGTATTTCTTATATTCATCAAATTGGTGCCAATAAACTATCCTAGCTATCTATTATGGTGTACATCTTAGCATTGATTCCAAATCAAAGGCTTATCAAGTATAAATTTCCATCTTACAACAAATTCTCATCACTTACAATGTTATATTCAAATTCTCATCACTTGAAATGAACATTGTTTTTTAAACACCTCAAAGATAGACTATGTTTTTTTTTATGTTGAAAATTCAATACTATCTTTGTATGACTCAAAATTATCCAATCTTTTTAATAATTTTCCACAAACAATAACTTGCTCTTCATACTATTTATTACATCATTAATTTGTGCATACCAATATTTTAATATTAAACCTTCCAACAACTTTAAGTGATACTTTAATTAAACCATTGTACAACCAACCAAACATACTAGAAGATATTTGCTTTCCAAATCCTACTCCTTATCTATTCTCTATTGACAATCTAAATTTATGGCCATCTTTCATTCTTTTTGATAATCATGTTTCACCTCCACAAAAAACTAAACCACATATCAATAGTAAAGGATTACTAACAAGACAACAAACTATGAATCAAAGCGAATGGTCATGCCATCTACTTACATGGCTTTAAGAATATTTTGTTGGATTTTCTGAGCTATCCATAGAACCAACCAATTTTTAAAAACCAATCATATAACTCAACTAGGCTCAAGCCATGCAAGAAGAAATATCATTGATTTATAAGAATGGTACACGGAATCCTACTAAATTACTTCATGGAAAAACACCTATTAGCACCAAATAGGTTTTTAAGGCAAAACTTTAGAATAATAGATCCTTACAAAAATATAAAGTTAGACTAGTAGCCAAAGATTTTGAAAACAGGCAGAAATAGATTATGAAGATATCTTTGTACCTATTATTAAATAGAAAATTATTTGACTGCTACTAGCTCTTATTGCATAAAGAACCTTGCTACTATATCAAATGGATGTCAAGATAATATTTTTATGTAGCGATCTACAACATGAAATATTTATTATACAACCTCAAGGCTTTGAAATAGTAGGCAAAGAACATTTGGTATGTCATCTATATAAAACATTATATGGACTTTGATAAGCACCAAAACAATGATATAAGAAAATAGACATTTTTTAAAAAAACAAGGTTTTACAAAAAGATAAGGTAATTATAACCTATATGTAGTTTAATATGAAAAAAAAAAAAAAAAAAAAAAAAAAATGCTTCTTATTCTATATATTGATGATTTCATCTTCACAAGCAATTATTTAAATCAGATCAAATGATTCAAACAACAACTCAAATCTTTTTTTAAAATGTTAGAATTAAAGGAAAGAGATATGACTTTATTTCTAAAAGCTGAGTGTATACAAGTCCCACAAGGAATTTCTTTTACTCAAAGAGCATATCTTATTCAAATACTAAAACTATTTTGTATGACAGACTATTAATCTATCTCCACTCCTATAGTTGAAAGATTAAAAGTACAAACTAACTTAAAAATATCATTCTGTGATCTAAAACTATATCAATCACTTATTAGAAAATTAATTCAACTTCAATATACTTGCTTTGATATATCCTATGCCATAGGAATTTGCATTAAATTTATGGCAAGACCTCATATTTCTCATCTTCAAGTTGTAAACAAATTTTTTGATATTGAATAGACACTCAACATTTTAGAATTCTTTACAAACTATATGCTCACCTTGACATCTCAAGTTATGTAGATGTTGATTGGACAAGGGATCTTAAAGATAGAAAATCACAACATGATTTATTTTTAGTCTTGATCAACTACATGTAACCTATATGTCAAAGAAATAATAAACAGTCACCCTCAGCTCTACTAAGGCTAAATACATGGCTCTTTCTACAACAACAAGAGAATCAGCTTGGCTAAAAAAATTAATCAATGATCTTAGTCTCAAAATAAATTGACATGTCATCATTCAATGTGATAATGAAGCCAATATGAAAAAAGCAACCAATCCAGATATAAATCAACGTACAAAACATATCATGGCACATTATCACTTCACTTCTAAAAGAATTATAAGTATAGATATACACCTTCAATTTGTTTCATCCATAGAACAAAATACAGATTTCTTCACTAAGCCCTTAGGAATATCTTTATTTCAATAATTTAGACAAAGATTACAATTATGCAACTATCATAATATTGTTGAGCCAACAATACATTCAAATACTGACTAACTATTTAGTTTGATGATAGACATCAGTGAACAGCGGCCTTCATCCTCCACATATCCTCATCACAAATGGTAGCCAACTGATCAATGTACCCTTTCTGATTACACAGCCACTGCTCATGTTCCAGTATGAAGTCCTTCCACAATCGACACACTTTTCTAAAATTATTCTGCAATTTTTAAACCTCATCTGAATAATTTAGATTCTCTATCAATTGAGGAATAATGACACTGGTTAGCTGCTCCTTTGACACGGAACATAAATCAAGAGCTCCCTTCTCGATTTCTTCCAAAACGATCTTAAGAACTTCTACGACAAAACTATCCATTTCTTTTCCAATTTCTGCTGCTAATTCTTGTTTCTGAATTTTCCTAGCTACATCATCTTTAAAATCAGATGTTTCTTGAATCTCCAAATCAACATCTTGAACAAAAGGACTGGAGCTCGGACACACATCTTGTGCAAACTCACTCACAGGAAGAGAAGACACTGAATAGCTCAAATCACAGACACCAGATATCTCCTCTGTCTGTAGCGCATGACATTCAGGACAAGGAAACACACCGCCTCTTTCACAAACCCAGCACAACAAGGAAATCAATACGGCGATCCAACAGCAACACTCTTCAAGTGTTATCGTAATCACCACCAGCTTCTCAATCATCAATAATAACAGCATAAGTATAATTATAAACAAATGAACCTCCATAGCTCAGTCTACCGCTCATATTAGAATAGTCAGAATGTTGATAGGATTTTCTTTAATCTTCTGCGTTCTCTACTGTTCCAGAGTAAGAGGGCATGTTGGCATAGACTCTCATAGATGAAAGATACATTCATTCACCTGTGTTAGTGTTAACCCGAATACTTGCATATATAAAAGTAGACCTGTTTCAGGTCCCGTAGTTGAATATATTTTGTGCTATTTTATTCCCACACCCTTAGCCTCAGAGGTTGTAATTGTCATCATCAAAATCTCAAGTTCTCTTTACTTTCGCAAGGATCAACTATAGAACAAAATTGGAGATTACTGTCATAGCCTGATTTTGATACTATGCATCCGACAAATATCCAGTCGATTCATTCACAAGAGAACCATCTAACGGTATCAGCAACCTGAATTCAGGCAAATTCGGGCTAAAACACGCACGTTAATTCAGAATGTTTGAGATGGTGTAATGCAATAACTGCTTGAATTCAATTGAGGAGATGGAACTAATTGCACCCAGTTAGAATTCTTCTTTGAAAAATGGTGCTGAATTAGACAAGTTTGGAACATCAGAATGCCGACGAGAAGAAACGAGAGACCACCCAGAGACTTGTGAAACCAGGTTGCAGGCAGCGAAGTTAATGACCCTTGAAAGCGGAATGAGGGCATATTGAGGTCTTGATGAAGAGCCCAATATGCGGAGAACGGTGGAATGCAGGTACACCTGCAAATCCCGAATTTATCGCCGATATTTTCGAGCGTGCAGTGCATTGATTAGTAACCACGTCGCGAAGGAATAAAAAAGGAGGTGGCTTTCATGAACCATCATACGCTCATGGCTTGCAGTCGTGATTTTAAACCTTAATACCAGCATGTTGCTCACAGAATCTGCAACAGAGGACCACTTTCCAATCTTGCTACCAGTTAGATCGACGATTGGGGACCTTCACCATTTTCTCGGCTAAAAGATCAGATGCAAACATGGCCCTGATATCACAGGCAACTCCCCGAATGACTACGCAATTAGGACCAATCCAGAATTCGGCGCAAACTTTGTTTTAGGTGCGCAACTCAGTTGCTGATTCCGAGTCGCCTATTGCAGCATCACTGCATTTATGATCACATGTGGACTAAGATTTTCTATGATGTCAAGAGTGCCAGATATTTTGCAGCCTGACTTACTGTGCGATCAAGGCGTCATTGTACGCTGATTTGACGCTGTGTAAAGAGCAATGGAAGCTGAGAATCAAGATGTGGTTATGTTAGAGACAATTCATGTAGATGGTGCAAGTACTGCAATACTAGATTTTGCTTCTCCTGCCGACCTACATGTCTCAAATAGGTTCTACACAGAGGAGTGTGTGACTCGAAATTCGACCTGCTTTACAAGCGGCTGCAAGTTGTTCTCACATCATCCGACAGAAGCGTGTCGCACTGGTTTGAATAGCACTGGCTCTATGCGATAATTCCGTCTTTTCTGTCAGATGTATAGAAACATCGCAAAAGACGGAGGGGAAAAAAAAATTAAAGGCTGAAAAAACATGAATATTATCTCAAAAGGGTGTGCAAATCCTCGCTTTGCGTGTTGTTTATGGAATGACAACTTAAACCGCCGTTACCAAAAACGACTGTTCAGTCATTTGCACTGGAATAACAGAAACTAAACAACCATTATAAGCCGTCAATATGACAATTTGGCTAGAGGGCATTGGTCCCTTACGAATTAAGGATAACAGATGTTTTGCACAGAGGGTGCACACAAACATTTCCTATTTATCACAAGGTTCAATGCATTCTCCGGAGCTCCAATGATGAATGTGAAAACTATCCATGTATACAATAAATGTAATTAGACGTTCACCACAACATGCTCGTCAAATAAAGGCCAACAAACCGAAGACTTCGGACTTTCGAACGATTTGGTGATCCTGAAAGAGTTAAATACAAAGTCCTCACCTAACAGAGTGATAGATTAGCCTCACATTCGGGGCCGTTGCCAACGCAAACTATCTACCCTGGAAACTCTAATAGTACATGAGGAATTAAATTCATGAATATTCTACTTATCCATTTATCACTAAATTAGAAAAAATTCTGCTTTACTCTATCCTCCGGAAATACAAATCATTGTTTTCCACCAAAACAGCTCTAAATGGTTGTATACACAGGCCAATTTTTTTAAGGCAGACATTCAAAAAATTAACTACAGCTGTTCATCTCTTTTGGAGGTAAAAGCTTGAATCTTTGTGTAATTGTTCTGTCGTAAGTGAGGATAGAGGTTCAGAAGATATGCTGACATAAAATCATGTCGTGTCAATAATCCAATTATAGGTTGACCCTGCAAGAAAGATCAATCAGAACACGATACTGTGAGTATCATTTATCCGTTCATATCTGCCTTTCAAATGAAGCTCAAAATGAGAACTGTGGAAATACATGCACCCAACGAAGATTCCCCAGAGACCTAAACGAAAGCTGGCTGCGTAGAGGAACAAAATCTTAGTGCGATGGCATGCTTTCAGACTACAATTGTAAATGTGAACTGTTCAACTCATAAATGGGCAAAACAAAGAGCAGAGTTCGAAGAACTGAGTCATAAAAGGGCAATGTCCTGGTGAGTACCTCAGAAGCCCTTGGCATGACACAAAGATGGCGGAGTCCGAGCTGTCGAAACAATGTGTAAGCCTTCGCTAAAGACATGGTGTGAACAACTGTATACGGAGAAGTATTGGCAATACCCGTCAAATCAAGGAACATCTCCTCTTCCACTACGGTCAACTCAATATCTGAAATGGTTAGCCCCTTGCCAGAGCCAGGTTTGGCAAATTCAGCTGCCGTAACGCGACTGCTTTGCACTTCAGATCGAGAGAGCCTATTTTTAGCAAACTCCTTCTTCTTCAGCAAGACCAATAAATGAGACCTCAGAACAAGGCCAAAAAATACTGGTTTCCCACTACATTCAACGTCGTCATCCACTACAGGAAAAGCGTGATGATTTGTGCTACGCAAAACCTCAGCAATTGTTCCAACACGTTCAACTTTCGAAAACCAAATCAACGGTCGAGTAATAGCATCGCGTGCAGTCAGATGGCTCATAAATTGAGGAGGATGAGCTTCAAGGAAAGGAATCCCCTTGATATGCACATGCAGAGAGTAAAGACCATCGTTGAAAGCATCTCCCACGGTCTTCGATATCAACAACACGAGCATGATCAGAGGAAGCAACAGCAAATTATTTGTCAGCTCCAGCAATATAATGCAAAGGGAGACAGTCATCCGCATGGAGCCTCCAAGGAATGATGCTGCTCCTAGGAGAGCGTAAACCCCCTCATCCATATGACCATTTACGTAAAATGATCCCATAATCATGCCGACAATTCTGCCATATGTAGCCCCACACAGAATAGCCGGGACAAACAGCCCAGACGGTACCGCAGTACCATATGTGAGAAGCGCAAGTGAATATGCGGATGTCAGATATACAAAAAGGGAGCTGAACTGAAACTCTCCATTAGTCCCCTTGCTGAACAAATTTCTCACACTATCCTCATTTGTGTTAAAGAAAAGGCCTGCCAAATCGTTGTAACTACCATCGGGGCAGTGGAAATTCTTGAAGTTGCCAGCACGGCCGTAGGTAGGACACGCCTTTTCTCCAGGAATAGTAAGATGGTCTGGACAAGGTTGACATTTAGCAAGAAATGGAAGTCCAAAACTGCAAATTGAGGTGACGAGAGCAATAAGGATCGCCTGGATAATTTTAGCGAACTTTCCCTTCCTGCAAACCATGAACCCGGATCAGTTTTTCATTGGGTGCGCACAATCCGTCCATTGAAAACCCAAGAATGGAACAAATGAACGCAAACCCCAAGGTAGCAATTACCCTCAAAATGCAACATAAACAATCAAGTATGGATTGGTAGGGATTCATACTTCTTAAGCCACGTGCCACTCCAAACGATAATCTTAGCATTAATCTGGTTGAAGAGGCTGCCAAGCACACCCCCTAGCACTCCCGAAACAGCCACTGAGGAAAGTTCTCTCAGCCCATAGCTTTCTTGCACTCCACTTACGTCAAAAATGATCAAGCCACCTTCACCAGCCATGCCACAGTGTCCTTGCTTACACCAAGCAATTCCGGTGCGTATCACTACAGCAACTACTGCCGTGGTGAAAAATGCCCTCCATAATAGAGGACCTCGCCACCTGTGATGCCAAACTTTCAATTAGACATGAACAAAGTCCAACTCTTACAAAGAATTCCAAGCACAAAAGCTTTCCCGAAAAAGAAGCTTATTGCAGCAAACAGTCTCATACATGATGAATTTGACATGAAAATCTAAAACACAGAGAGGAAACTACGCTGTGTCCAAGTACCCAGTCTCAACATTGCCGAAATTGTTCCCAACTGACGAATAAAATAAAAGAAAGCGTGGTTCCACAACACGGTGGCGTACCAAGAGGTAACTTCTTCTAGTGCAAATAACACCCCTCCTACAGGTGCACGAAAAGCCGCTGCAACTCCAGCAGCTGCTCCACAAGTCACCAAATCTCGCCGATCACGATCGTTTTTCAGGTATCGTAACCATTTACAGGTCAAACCATATTTCACAGACCCTCCCTGACCAAGTAATGAAGCAATGCAGGAGCCCACATGCACAAGTGGACCTTCTTTTCCCACAATTAAACCACCAGCTACGGATCCTATGCTTCCAAGAATCTGCATGCACATGAAGAAAATGTTTCCTCTGTCAGGATCTCGCATACACGCTTTGATACAATGTTTTAACCACAATAGCTTCTGAAAAAAGGTAAGATTACAAACCATAAAGCCCCCAATCACAGATCCAGTGATAAAAGCTATACCCCTTTCGTCTCTAACTAACCAATGCTGAAAAACAAAAAAAAAAAAGGAGCAACTTCATGCGTAGTACATATACATAGATAGTTAACCTGAAACTTGCCTTGACAACAAGAGTCTTAATTGAGAATATGTTGGGCGTATCGACTCCATTAAGATAAGCCTTGACTTCTGGAATACCTGAACCTGCTGCTGAAGGGCCTATGTACACACATAGGAGCGCAGCACTCATGACCAACATCACATTGAAACCGGCGTAGACCAAAAACGCCCATACAAACCTGCAACACAGATCAGCACAAATCTTAGTAGTTTGCAAAAGGAATCCAGTTACGCAGAAGGTAGTGCTCCGCCTAGTCAAAATTCAGACTATGGAATTGCTTGGTAATTTATAAAAAAATCGCATACTTTTCAAACGATATTCCAAAAAAAAAAAAAAAAAAAAAAAAAAAAACATTCTGAAAAACCAAGGGCAAAAGAGGAACGGAGAAGGAACTCCGCGTATTGTGCTGATCCGAGCAATGCGAGTTGTCAATGTACGATACAAGGTAAACTACAACCCACCAACAACTTACAGAGTAGCTGGAAGAGATTCTACTAGCAAATATCAAATGGAGTAGTATTGAAACTTCCTGAGCAATGTTAGGACCACGAATGACTTTAATAGAAAGTCTGCGCAGAGTGTATCAAGTTGGGGAAGAAATAGAATGACTAGGACCAGATCATATGGTGATCAACCAGGACGATACTAAGGGTGACAGGTGAACTATGGCGTAACAAGTCTCGAGGAATTTCTACAATCCGACTAATCAGAGGTTAAAACTCAGCAACAAAAACCCCTTCAGTGCGTGTGCGGGTGCAGTTGAAGCGATTTGTCAAGGTGTGGAAAGGTGCGAATTAGCCAGTCCAAGGTTAACCCCTACGCCCGAGAAAATCAACTAGTATCCGGTAACTGCAGTGAAAGATGCTCATTGCTCTGACTAAAGAAGAAAAGACGCTAACCTGTTTGACTCCATGAATTTAACTGTAAGCAGAAATTTCACTCCAGCAATGTTCTCCACGGCAGTGTTGATCCCCAAGGCAGCAATAGCAGTTAAAATGCCGACAAGAAACACAAATGTCCACTTCACCGCGACATACTGTAAGATCTCTCGTTTTTTCCTGGAACGCCAGTCTTGTCTGAATAGCTCGTTCTCAACGAGTCTGCAGGAAGACCGCACAAATGGTCAGCAACAACACTGGGTAGCGAACACATGGAAAAGTCTAATCTCTATACTTCTCAGACAAGTTACACGGCGTAGATTGATTTGCGTCGCCCACACCTCCTACCTTCTACTTGGGCCAAGTGTCTTCTAAGTCAGCCACTCCCTGCAATTCTTAAGCTCCGAGGTTTATCTACAATTTATTAGAGAATACCGCCGGCTACTTCAACCCATCCCTCCCTCAATCACAAAATCCGAAGGGCCTAGAAATACCAGTATCCAAGCAATGCCTAGGAAATATTTCCAAAAGCACTCACAGGAACTGTCATTCTTTTCGAGCCAACAACTGCGGCTGACATGATTTCACGCCGGTCTCAACAGCGGAAGATTCAAACAACGCTGCAAAAACGAGGCCTCGTGCAGAACAAAGTAATCTGCACACAATCACCTTCCCACTCAACACTACCAAGAAACTCTCATAATCCGGCACAGCTTCAAGAATCTACTTTTCCGTTAGCCATGAGAGAAACCTCTAGGCAACAAGGCGAGCGAGTGGATACGCTCGGGGAAACTTACTCATAATCAAGACTCTCAATAGGTGCAACCCTTGTGCCGATCATCGCCGTGTGATGGGTACCATTGATGACGTTCCCATTTGCGTTACCAGCTGTAGCAACCTTCTCCTTCTCCAGGAGCGGCTCGTACAGATCAAGGTGCGGAGGCGGCAGGCTCTCCTCCTCCACATTTCCCATTTCATCATTCCCACCCATCGCTTCTACTACTACTCTACACCACCGTGTTGTCGCAACAACAACAACCCCCGCACAATCCCTTCTCAGACCTCCGGCACCCACTCAAGCACCGATAGTCCTTCCCCCTGGGCACCAACGCTTCCATTCACGCTCCCCACACCACACCTCGCAACATTCCCGACACCTCCTCCTCCTCCTTCCCCACGACTCACCACTGCGCCTTCACCACAACCTTCACAAGTCAACAACGAATCCCATCTATGTGCTTCAATCACGCCGCCCCGCCGGAACATAAACGCAAATCTCTGATAAGAAAAAATAAATATAAGCCCTCAACACTCAACGCCGCAGCTTCTCCGTGCCCGCACCCAACAACTCTCTCTCTCATCACCCAGGTCCTTACTCCCGTCTCTCTATTTCTTTCTCCCCCCCCCCCCGTCTCGTCCCGTCTGCCTTTTCCGTTTTCATCTCCCCGTCAACGCAACTCATCCATCTGGCCACGCCATAACAGCGCAGCACAGCCACACCCAATACCACACTCGAGCTACGAATATGGTGCTGCGGCGAGCTCATCCATCCACTACGCAACTGGAAGTGGGGTGTGATCGGGAGGGAGCCGCAATGGAGATCGTGGGGGGAACTCAAATATGTTTTTTTTGCAATACTCCAGTTTCCTGCAACTCCCTTGTTACGAAGTCATTCGTCTGTGAAACCGAGTGAGGACTGGAAACACCCATCGTTTCAGGAGCGGATTCCGCCGCCCGATCTCACCAAGCCGGTTTTTCTTACATTTTTTTATTTTATTTTTAGTATATCATTGCCATTGAGGCGGTCACCACCGTTGGGTAAGCGGAGAAGCCAGCAGCAGCGACCCCAACTCGGAAGTCCGATAGACCTACTTTGTGGGAGGGAAGATCCAAGCCGGTGGATAATGATGGCGACGAGCGGGTGGCCTTTGCCGAATAAGGAACACGGCAGGGAATATATTAACCACGTGTCGTAAGTTTGCTTCTTGTGCGAGGATTCAAAATTCGCGTGCCGGTGGGGCCGACGGGGAACAGGAGGCCAGTGAATTGATTCCATTTCTGGGCTTGGCCTGCATGATCCCAACGCACCCGGAACTCATTTGTGTTGCGTCAATCCCAGCCACCAGGAAGCCAATTCGGTTGCTTCTCTCCCGTTAAAATACCTCTCTGAATTAGTCTACCTTGTGCTGACTGTGTTATTCTCGAGTTTCGGGTTTCAGTCTTTGATTCGAGAAAGTGAGCTCGTGGTGGAGATTTGAGCATCAGGGTACAACAACTCCCAATCTGCCACCAGCATGCTCGCCACAGGAAAAACAAAAACTCGGCAGTTTGTTATTCCCCATAAGCAAGCTCTGGCAAGAACTCCATGGATTCACGAAAAGCGATGCGCGTTGTGTGTGTGAGTGTGTTAGGGGGGGGGAGGTGATAGGCAAATTTCAGTAACCTTGCCCCCATTAATGAGCCAAAAAAAACGAATTTCCTGAAGCCATCTCACTACAAGTCCCATGCAAGTACACGCAGCCATAAAATTTATCCCACAGAACGATTCTGCATCACATGACAGCGAAGAATAGTGCAACAGTAAGAATCCCGTTGGCTTGTACAACAATCACGACACAATTAGCACTCCATCTCCCCCTACAAATCCCTTCACACCACGTAGCTCTTCCCTTCGAACCCTCTTTCGCTGGTAGCTCCCACCATTTCCTCTATTCCGGCAATCCCTGATTACCGTACGGAGGATTGGACAAAAGCTTGCAGCTGGAAAATAGGGTTTGGAGCGCCACGACGAAGATGAGGTCCTCGGGATCTAGAAATAATATTTTGTTGCGTGGAATCTTATAGCACACGTCCACATACAGGTGGCACGGAGCTGGCTTTTCTGTCCTGGCATTGGATAGGGGGGCTTATCACGTCATGTTCGGCTGTGGGAATCTTGAATGTGGGGGGAGAGCGGGTTGGTGGCGATGAGATTCGTACTATCGTCTTCAAGATCCACCACAATTCGTACAATCTTGGAAACGGCAGTGGCCATTGTAGTTACTGTAATAAAGCTTCGATGCAGTGTCATGTTTAATGTCTCGAGCCAATTATAATGGTTTTTTCGCATGGCACTGACCATGTTCGGAAGGGCTCGAACAATTTTAAAGATTCATCTACCTTTCAAAAATAAACAATAAATGTCTAAAAAAATCTGGGCGTAAAAATCACGAGCTTAACGAAATTGGATCCGAGTCACAAAAGCATGCAAAGCATGTGTTTTCTACGAAACCGAGCGTGTAAAGTTCAGATCACGGGGTCTAAGGTTGGTTCTAAAGTTAGAAAATAATATGGAAAAAACATGTTTGCATTCTGATAAAAGACATCGTGACTAAATTCCTTCAAACAATTCTTCCCAGTGTCTTGTCCATGAAGACAAAGACTGGTTGATGGCACAGATGTAACTATGTGCATGCAATCCTAGTATTGCAAAAATAATTCTCCACCTCTGCAGTCTAAATCAGTTGATTACAAATGCAGACTTCAACGAGATTCTACACCCAGATCATCGTCACACACTTATCTCCCGCAATGAATTTTCCTATACAAGGAGTGGTAGTAGGTGGGTCTTCATTTAACTACCATCATCTAATGTTGAAACAGTAACGAAACTCTCTAAAGAACGAGAAAAAGGGCTTTTTCACACGGCAACGAAAGCGAACGGCGACAGACCCCTTTCTTCCCCAATACCAACTCCCCACCGAGACTGTCCCAATTACCACAAAGGTACCCTACTACCGGCCACAAAGGCCCCATGACCCGGGATTCTGTTAGCAGGCACAAGGATGACATGGCATCAAATGTGTGGCCTGAATCGGAATCAGGAATCTGTTAAGCTTTAGTGGTCCAACAGCCCAATTTCTGCTGTAAAATCTACAAGACGCTGAGCATCACAAAGCATACAAATTTTTCTTTATATAGCCCCACTGTCATGACAAGGAGCAAAACCAATTCTGGACCCCACTGGCCCTTACTTACTGGCCACGATTAGGTCAATTGGGGGGTGGAGTGCTGGAAAACTCATGGTGAACAAAAATTCATGAGGCAATGAAAAAGAAAAATGTGTCGGGGCCGGGTTGGATCAGGAAGGGTTACGCCATCAACTTCCGACCCACGCGCCTTTCAAACGTGAACGGGGTTTCACCACTTCGCGGTTATGGGTCACGAGGTCTGGTGACCGAGGGGTGGTAGTGGCCGTCGCACGCGCTGACGTCAGCGAGATTTTCTGACACTCCATGCGATTTCCCTGTGTCCTCCCAGATGGTGGTTGCTGACGTGGAGTCATAAAAGCTCTCTGGGATCGATCCACTTGGAGGGGGGTGAGGGGTAAAGGAAGAGATCATGTGCTGTGCATTCTGAGCACCATCACATGGGCTGTTCCACGTGGAATTGTCATCACCATTCCATGGCACATAAATCCCCGGCCTCTTCATTTCCAGAAGACACATTTTTATCTTTGATCAACTTGACAATTCAAATTATGATTTCCATCAGATTTCTCACATTGTTTAATGAATTGAGTATGTGAAATTATGCCAAATTCTCTTATTTCTTACAACCACACCAAACAATGTCATACCAACTTTCTCTTGTTTACATTTCGAATATAATTGTAAGATTGAGGTTTGTTGTACTGATTAAAAAAATTCATGTGTCTTAAGAATTCTTGTGCCAGAATACATAATCTGTTTGGATGAATCTAACATTGTAATTACCTAAAAGGGCATATTTTTAACACATCCAAGTTCTAGTATTCATAAGAAAACCTCCACTTTTTTTGCACATAGACTCACAAATTCTTCCAAAGAATTGTTACATGTCACTTTGTGATCATTTTGTTTTAAACTTGCATAAAAATTAAATGAAATATAAAAATGCAAACGAGAGTAAGAAATTAAAAAAATTTACCTCTAAACAAATAATGAAACCTGTACGTGTCACAAGCCCCACCGACGAATGAACGCTAAAGGGATGGGAGATCCTTGATGAGTGGATGAATGAGGATGATAAATGGAATATCCTCAGATCACATCCCCATCATTAGTTGGCCTGCAGAATCGGGCTCCCAGGTTGATGCCCTGTCATATATCCGGGTATCACTTCAGAGAGGTGCAGAGCCCTTAACAAACAAACACATCATGCAGGCAGGTATTGCATGATTTACCCCCCCCCCCCCCCCCCCACACAACTTTAGTGCCTTACAAAGGCCTTCTCGGCACCCATTCATGTCCCACTCTCTCACTCCATCACAAAGTGAGGAGGACCACATTCCACTCGGAATTTATGTGTCCTTCAAAGGCTGAGGATAGGCTTGGAGTAGTTGAGTAAAGCTTGAGCAAACTTGACTGAGTTGTGGACAGAATTTTGGGCAGGCGTCAAACTTTTTGTTCACAATAACTCAGCGGATTTTATTATTTTTGTTATTATAAATACATTTAATATGAATGTTCTATTGATTTTAGGCTGAGGTTTATTTTCACATTTGACCTTTGAAATGTTAAAGGATGCACTTTTAGGGTTTGAATTGTGGATTATATAGTGTGTCAGAGTAAATATAACAAGATTAAATGCACATGGCAATGACGTTTGGAGTAAAATAGGAGGCAAGATTTCTCCAACTCAACCCATCAATTGGAATGTATTGTACGAGTAAAAATTCATGTCCTGATAATTTTAGCTTTAGAAATTGTGGAGTGTTACATATATTGTGTGGGACAATCATTCTAAAGCAATTGACAGTTCTTGTGAAAACCTTAATTGGAATAAACAATGTTTCTGTCCAGCACAATATCACTTTTCCTTCGCAGCAGATTTTATTACAAAAGAAACAGATGATATAAAACTTCACATGAATCTTTTGAAGCCAAAAAGTGATCAATCTTCAATGCTGATATACCTTGCCCACCAACATCCAAAGCAACTGGGTCTCAATCAGGAGACCATCAAATACATTCTACATATGTTTTTTCAATTTCTCCTTTTCTACTTGTTTCTTATTTTAGAATAAGACGAGTAATGCAAAATTTGGAAATAGATTGAAGAGGACAACCGTGTATGCTAATCTCCCACACATTAAAACACATACATATGTATATATATATATATATATATATAATCATGAATGTGGTTGGTTTTCATTGGTTTTGGATGCAGTAATGATAGTAAATGAATCTAGACATTTTTTTCCACTTTTCTTTTTCATGATTACTAGAATGAGTGAAATTAGTAAAATAATGGGTATATTTAGCATTCCTCTGTATATATTTATTATTGTTATTTAAGTAGGGTGCACAAGAAACAATGGGGAGACCATGTCCTTCATGGGTTAGCCCAGAGTCCAGACCTCCATACCACTTGTAAGAAGACAGAACATAGCCGGGGAGAACGGCCGGGGCCTTGATGTTCCGCAAAAACTGATCCCCACACGGGCACGTGGACTAGTTGACACGCTGGCAAATTACCAGGGACTTTCCACGTCATCACATTTCCACGTCAGCGAGGAGGTTGCGGGAGCCAATCCCTCGCTCGCTCGCTTACTCAGTTCCCTCAAGTTGGGGGGGGGGGGGGTGCGGCCACAGGACGCTGTTGCCGCATGCGAGGCCCCGTATTGACAGACTAGAACCCGAAGCATCGATTCGTCAACGGATCTCGCGTCGCACTTCCACCACTCTGTTACCGGAATCTGCCGCAGTACCGCCATTACCGCCACCACCACTTACCACTCTAGCGACCGGAAACGGCAGCCCGGTTCTAATCCAGACGCTAGAGCAAGGCTTTTGTCCGTGGGGGTTGCTTGTGCGGTGAGTGATTCTCGTGTGGGCCTCGAACCGGATCCGTGGGGAATTACGGGCGTTGGGTATTCAGCAGGGTGCACATCACGGTTCCAAACATTTGTCAGATGCTGGTACACACTTCCTGTGACGAGGAAAGGAAGGCAAAGGAACCAACGGGATTCCATGCTGTCGTGCAATCGACGTCGTCGTCGTTGTCTGTCTCCTGGTTGCGAGAGCTCGTTGCTTCCAGCTTTCGACGAGGTGGGGTCTGTCCAGCTTCGGAGGTCGAGCGAGCGAGCGAGCTTCGTATAGTAACATGGAATTTACTGCATGAAGGCACAGAAGGCCTAGCGTTGAAGAAGAAATTAAAAAAACGCAATGAGTGAGTCAGTCAAAGTGGGTGACGATGTGGCCGCCGAGTTGTCTGTCACAAGACTTGGCTCCAGATACGCAACTTTTGCGGCGTCATGAATTACGTGAATGGGAAGTCTTCCCCTTGAATGGGATGAACTTTGAAGTTTCCCATTATTTATATGCATTGAAGTTATCAACTTCATTTGGAATCTTTTATTATATATATATATATATATATATATATATCTTATGGGAATGTTAAATGGACCCAAGTTTTTACGAAATTTACTCACTCATCCTAACCATTATGGAAAATGAAAAAATAAAAATAGTGGTCTCTAGATTCATTTCTTTGTTATTGGGTCCAAAACAAATGAAAACCAACCACATTCATCATGATTACCATATTCTTTATCATGGGTAGGTCGATTTAGTAAAAACCAGTGTCTATTTAACATTCCCATATATATATATATATATATATAATTGTTTTACTAGTGATTGTGTTTATGGAGCATTGATGGTATTGGAATTGTTGAGTAGTCATGGTACCCTTTATGTGATATACTCTCTCAAAAGTTTCATGAGATTATTGTGCTTTTGGCATAGTCACCCTTTGAGTGTTTGTATAGAGGCTGATCTTTTTAATTTTAATTCTTCATTTGCACTCCCAATCATAGTTTCACCTACATCTTTGTTCAAATAACCTACTTTTGTATTTACCCTTGTACAATATTTATATATGAATGAATGAAGCTTAAATTTTGACTTTTTCTAGTTAATATTATTTGATATCTAATTGTTTCTATTATTTCATTTGTTTAATATATACATGACAATGTTGACATTGATGAATCACAAGACTAATTCAACCTCCTTAGATCAAGACTAAGATAATGGGTCAACAAAAAATAAGACATAGAAGCCATTATTATTATTGCAATAAGATTTAATGTTTTTAAAATGCATTTTGACATAATGTTTAACTTATACAAAGTTTATTGTCAAATTTCAAACCAACAAACTCTCTAAAACTAGCAAACCTAAAGGTTAATATTTCTATGTTTGCATATAATGTTCAAATTCTATCCAGTTATTCTACATGATATTTCTCTGTTTTTGTTTTTGTTTTCTTTTTCTTTTTCTCGTGAGTTAAAGGCTCTCAATGAATTATCATTAAAAATGCATGTATCATAAGGTTATAAGCTTTAAAATGTAAAATAGCAAAGGAGCTTAATTATGTATAATTTTTTTTAAAAAAGAAGAAGATTTTATCGTCTTGAGGAGAGAACAAATTCAAATGATTTTCAATAATAAATAATATGAATGTTGAATGTTGGCAAATTGATTGATTGATTGAATTAAATATATTTTGTATGTTGATATATGGAGAAAAATCAAGACCATTTTATTATTATTCAATTAGAAAAAACAATATTGTGTGGTAACTGTTTTTTTAAATATTATTATTTGAAACAAACAAATTAAGAGTTATCACAATCTGCAGACTGGTGTGCTGACAAAAGCACCATATTCTTGCAGGATTCCATTGTTTCTAAAAGGACAACAAAAGTGTTGTTGGCCAACATTTACACGTGGGCAGTTTTGAACAACATATGTTTATTTATTTGTTTTATTTATATTGTGCTATCTAAAAATAAAAACTCGACCAGGTTCACTATTTTTTTAGATTGGTGTCAAAGACAAAGTGTGAAATTGGAGTTTATTCACCGTAGGTGATTAAAAACGGGGGCAAAGACACTAAAGGAAATAGTACCACAAGTTAGCCCCTTGAGCCAAAATGACAACTAACCAAACCAAAATAAAGAGTCCCATTCATTTCCACACTCATCTTCCCAAATTATTCATTTATTTAATTATCAAGCATTAATGAAAAAATGGAATTATTGAGGCTAATTCTACTGTTTACATGAGAGATATGCTTCAAAGTGGATGGGTTTGATTTCCATAAAATGTTGCACAAATTTTCCACTTCCCAAGGCTCCTTTGCAGTTGTGATGGGGGCGTCAGATTTTGGGGAGAAGCCACTTTTATTGGAAGTTTCCACTCATTCATTCTGTTTTATGTTCCATTTTCTCCACCATTTCAAGCAAATCATCTTGTTCACAGTTGGGTCTCTCCTCTAATCAAAGGAAAGCTGCGCATTCACGTGCACAAACATGAAAGAAAATCAAAACATAAATAGTAAAAAATCATATGTAAAATTTGAAATTAAAACACACAAAAACCAAAACCACGACAGAATATTGAAGGAGCAGATTCTTTGAAGTAAATACAAGAAAAGGTCCATTATTTTTTTAGTTGTTTTTGTGCATCATCATCATCATCATCATCATCATGTGGGTTGATGCTACACCCACAAGTGCCAACTCATATTCAAAGCGAGTAGCTGATCTTTTTTCTTTTCTCTATTGGTAATAAAAAGGGTGTGGTTACTGTTCCTAATACTGCAGTATAACAAAACTGAGTACCATAAATGGATCTACTTGATGGCTGAAGTAACAAAAGCAGAATAAGAACTAAAAAAAAAGGCAACAAAAAACAGACCACAATAGAAGAGCACAATGCAACACAACACAACACAGCACAGAGGGTGAGTCTTGTACATGAGTCTTGTACATGAGTCTTTTGCTATGGTAAGCCTCCTCATTCTGTGCCCTGCTTTTTGCCAATTGCCGATGGAGTGTTGGCTATGGTGGTGATGGTTGTGGTGGAGTGCTACACCCTCAGTTGCCACTCACTCACTTGCTACTTGTTTGTTTGTTTGTTTGTTTGTTTCTTCATTTGAATTCATTCTTCTCCTTCTTCTGCTTCTGGTATCAATCTCTTGTTGCGGAGTGCATTTCATTCAGAGTGTGGGGGAGAGTGATGGAGGAATGGCTTTGTGCTTTTGGGTGTTGTTTCTATTGTTGTCTATATTGTTGGCTATATTGTTGGCTACATTGGTGGCACAGCATTGAAGGGGGAAGGGAATAGAGGAGATGCTATGGGACCTCTCTCTATCTCTCTCTCTCTCTCTCTCTCTCTCTCTCTCTCCCTCCACAAATATCCTGCTCTTCCCGCTCCTCCTGCTTCTTTCTGCGGTTGCTATTGCTGCTTCGCTGTCCCGCAACATTCTTTGCAGAAGGGAATATTTTTTTGTAAAGACTCGCGTTTTTGTTATGGGCATCGTAGTTACTCTATTCTTTGAATTGATGGTTGGTTGGGTGATTTGGGTGTGGTTGAAGAAAGATTGTGAAACCTGGGAATGCCCAAAATCAAGCACTCGCATGCTATGCATGTGGGGATTTATACAATGTGGTCAACATATTCAACGACAGTCGCTCCATTCATTGAAAAGAATGGTGTAGCGGATTCGTTCGGGGATCACGTGAACCTTCCAACCCTTTGTACGTTCATGATGACTACAAGTAATGCCACAAACCAACGTGTTTTTTTAAAGTTCAGAATACGCATACATTGTTTGCAACTTGTCAGTTTCATGGCTAAAAATAAAATAAAATAAAATAAAAGAGTGCTGACAAAAGAAGACTGATGGCTGCCAGGGAAAAAAACACAGGCTCTAACGTTCGAGCTCCCCTTCAGTTCCATGTTGACAGTCAACCAGGGCATTCTTCTCTCGTTGCCTGTGCAGCTCCGATGGTACCCGAAGCAGAACGGCACACTAGTGCAAGAGGGGTTTCATGATTCTGACAGCAACAGAAGAAAAAAAGAAAAAAAGAAATAATACAGACCCAACTAATCCTAATCGTAGCTTGCATCCATGTCATCATAATTTGTCTACAGTACCTGAAGATTGCAATGCCAACCTTCAGAATTGATCCACAGACTACTGTACCCACCAACTTTATCAACAACTGGATGCTGACACTTTAACAAAGCCTTGAGGCAGGAATTTACACGATTCTAATGCAAGGTTACCTGCATGAGAAGCTTGAAATTGGGGGATTACCAAAGCAGGAAGTGACAAGAAGCAGATTGGAGGAGGCCATCCGGGTTTGGTGGGCAGATCGTTGCAGAGACCTACCAGTGGACGCTCCTTCCTTCAGTTGATCGTGGAGTGGTTTACAGTGATCGGACATTTGTCGTTCCATCATGCAGGCGTCGAAATCAATGTCCGCCTACTTATCCAATATTTGAAACCTTGAGGTGAGTTCAAATTGTGCAGCAGGTCGTCACGAGAATAAGAAGCAGGGCTCACGCCAACTCATTCACTCCCTTTCTTATCTTTAGTCGTAATCGTTCACTGCAATACATTTGTAACACATGGGAAAACTTTGGTGTCGGTGTGTGGAAGAACAATTGCATGCGGAGTACTTGGGAATGCCGTCTGAAGGATTCGAAAGAGTTTTCTCTTGATTCAAACGCATAAAAGATGAATTCCAGAGCAGTGTTGCTTGCGACCTGTACCACAAATCCAATGAATAATAAACCAAATCATAGGAAACCTAAAAAATAAAAAATAAAAAATAAAAATAAAAAAAATCTCTTTGCTTCTGTCCATATCTTACAAAAAGTTGGTGCAACGCTAGGAAGACCTGGAACTGACATCCACAACTTACATAAAGTTGACACAACACTAAGGATCCTAATGAACACATATTATATAGCTATTGCAGTCCAAACACGAAACATCTGCTGCAAGCCTCTTTAACGAGGACTGATCACGGGCATTGCTCTGAAGAATGCTCAATAGAGGGGACCTTCATTGCGGTACTACAGAGCCAGGGCACTCCTCCAGATGTCTACAAAAATGTCTACAAACGGCGTAGTTCTTCTCTTCTATTGAATGTCCCAAGTGCTGAAGATAAGTTTGCCCCAACATTTTTTTCTTTTTCTCCCCCCTGCCCTTCTTCATCCTCTCATCGCTGGCGCTCAGTTTTATTCCACATTAAAGTCGGGACACAGTCACCGACGTGCTCGAATGCAGCCAAGTGTTGTATGTGTCTACAATGCTCTGGAAATACAACGGTCATCACTACAAAAGCGTTTGGAGGCCGAGCAGTTGATGTGGTGCTAGGTACTAAAAGGTGGAAAACGAAAACAGGAATGTAATGGTGTTGACAAATACAGGTTGCATTTGTAAAGCACAGTGCGAGGTGATTGAACGAAGAAAAAGAAGAGCGAAGATGGTTCTCGAGACCAAGTATGCAATTAATCATTCCAAATTAACTAATGAAACTGGCAGATTATGGAATTAACTAATTTTGCGAAGCATACTCGAATTTATTGTCGCAGATTCGAATGTCGTGAATACACTTGCCTACCGACCTAACGCAATGGAAGCCCATTTCTGAGCTTAATATAAACAAGGTGTTGCTATGCATACATAAACATTAAGAAAATTATGAAAGCAACAGCACAAATGTATCTCATACTCTAGAGCTTGATTTACGAGGATTTGGAGAATCAAACGAACCAACAAACCGACAAAAGTCTGTATCACATGATATGTTTGAGATTACAGAGGTTGACACATCTTTCGTGCGTACTCACCCAGGTCATTGATATGTTGATGCACAAACACATGAGTAGGAAAAATTCACACGTCGTTTCGCGTAATACAGAATGAAGTGTAATCAGACCACGTTAAGTCCGTCAACGCTGTCTCGAAATCCATCCTAGTTGAGTACGTTGGTAACTCCAACCCGGGAACCAATCCGGCTTAAGTGAAAATACTAAGAGAGCGACAATTGCCAGACATAGATACTGTACTCTCGGAAAGGGGAATATCAATATTAATATAACCACTAATGCATTGCTAAAATTCCCTACTATACTTGTCCAAGCAAGTATAAAGGCATTCATCAATCCATGCAAAAGCATGTAGAGTCCCGTTTTCCTTCGAGACAATGGTGCCTGGCAACTTACAAAATTATTCCCAGTGTCTCAGTTTGACTAGGCCGCGGTGCCTTGACGCCCCCGTCATTAGATATGATGCTGCGCCCAACGTCTCGTTCAACTTCAACTTCAAGCTGTACGCAAGAACTGCACATCAGATTAGAACAAAGGCCTGCTGCAAAAATCAAACCACCGATTCTTGCTGCAAAAACAGCTAACCGTCCTTTTGCGAGAGAAGTCCCAAAACTTCATACTGTGTAAGACCTGTGATGCTACTGTGCAGGAAAAATCATTTATATTTACAAAAGAACTAGCAGTGGATTGAAATCATTCATTGGCTAAAACTGGTAATCGAAGAACGAGTAGCAACACACACCAACGAATGGATCTTTCGGACTTGGCACATACCCTGAAAATTTCAATTCAGAAAGTTGAACAATATACGGATTCGCTCACTTAGGCAGAGTAGAAAGAGCAATATAATTTCGTTTTTGGCTCCAACCCACCCACACGAAAGTGATGCTAAGCCATTCCTCTCGCCGTGACCGAGTATTCCGCAGGTTCATGGAGTCCCTATCAAAGCCTTCGCAGCTTCAACTCGCGTCGTAGAAACTCGTGCACCCTCCCTAATACATCCAGAGCCATGACCTTGTTACCCGTAATGCCGAACAGGAATTCTTCAGCATATCTTACGTATCTCACCCTGACAAGCGGAACAATTGCAGCGCTGCTCAACTGGTTCGTTCCCCGCTTGTTGGAGCCTGAATTCTGCTCTGCCTGCATGCGCGTAACCTCCATATCTAGCTGGTGGTAGTAGATGTTGCAAAAAAGAGCAGACAATCGATTTCCATGGTCACCCAACCTAATCATGCCAGTCCTGAACAGTTGCTGAAGTAGATGCAAAAAATCCTCGTCCTTTATCCTCGCTGATAGAATACGCAATAGGTTCTCAAATTGTGCATTTCCAAACTCTATTGGAGATTTGTAATGTATAAACCAGGTAGTTCCTTTCCAACTATTCTTGATCAACTTCAGAGCCATGTGGCTAGACCTGGCCAATTTGTGCCTAACAGCACTTACCAAAAACACTGGCTCATAGATTCTCTCCAACTCTGCTCTAATAGCCTCCGCAACAATCTGGTCTCTTGGATTGACAACTGTAATTGTTCTCACATCGCCTTCCTTTCCAGGTTTTCTGACATGGATATGAGAAACCGGAGAAAATTGATATGTCCCTGATCGCAAACTATATGCTATGTGATCAAATGAACTCAAACTAAAATCCTTCCAGTCTTCATCACTCTTGCCACTCAACAACTGAAGCTTTGGTTTAATTCGTTCATAAGCATCGTACAGAGTATCCGGATCGGACATTCTGACCATGATATTCTCGTAACAGTGATCCATAGTTTGGAGATCCTCAATGGACAAGCTAGCGGAGCAAGATTCAGGCAGCCCCAAACCAGCTTCATTGGTAAGATTCGAATCGCATGATTCAGTAATATCCATTTCTTGCTTTCCAGCGGGAAGTGCTGGTCGCAACTTGGAAGCTTCAGCCTGTGCATTGAGCTCCTCGCAAGCCTCATCAATAGATAGCATGAGATTTTCGTAGGCAGTCTTCACCGACACAGGGAGATAATCCCAACCAAGCCTAGCAAAATGATCCTCCTCCTGTGCAAGCAGCTTCTTCAGGTCATCGCTACTCATCAGAGGGTGATGGTCCGTCAGGGTCAAAGCAGCCTTCATCCCAAGTTCGGTGGCCTTGTCGAAAATAGTCTGCTTCGCCTTCGAGCCTAATTCATCAACCATGTTAATGCTAGAGAAGGAAAAACACAGTTTCCGTCCAATGGAGAGCTTAAGTGTGCAAAACAAATCCTAAACGGTTCAAGAGACAAATACGAAGGTGATCAAACTTGCCTGCAAGGAATGTCCCCACTCATTCATTCCCACCAAGCGAAACGGAAATGGGCCAATTAGCAATTCTGTAATTTGGATGTGGAAACAGATAAAATAAAAGGGCCACCAGAAGAGTCATACAAACCTGATCTGAGAGTATTCAGGGTCTTGCGATAGCCCCGAATGAAAGCATTGAATGCCAACCGCTCAACTTCCTTTTCCCACGATTCCTTCCGCTGCTTCTGCAACTGGCGCAACCGATGGATAACACGGCGTCGCTTCTCCAAAGCCTTTTCATACTGACGTTTCCTCTTTGAATCATCGACAACACCAATGAAGACACCTAGAAACTTCACCTTGGCAGAATTCGCATGAGTCAAAGTCCCTTGCGATGCATTCAAGGGGCCAATCGTTTTCTCTGAAGCAGTGTTCACGAGGTCATCTGAGGCCAATGCCGCAGCTGAGTGCTGTTGCGCAAGCATACTCAAGGAACGCAGGACCGAGAGCCGCCCACAGGAAACGGACTTGAAACTGCCCACCCAACTGCGGATGGCCATCTCTTTACCCTCCTGGCAAACATGACCCAGTGCACGCGCTCTCTTTCTGAACAATAACTTACCAATTTACACACAATCCCCTAATTCTCTCACATCCTTCACTAAATTCCCCAGCTGCGAAAAACCTAACAATCTACCTCGACAAGAACCAAAAAACCACCAAAAAGTTAAAAATTGAACCCAAGTAAGATGGCGAATGTGCACTCAAGCGCTGATGCAAGTGCTCAATCTTCAGCTAAATAATGTAGAAAATGTAATCGATTGTCCACAATCAATTTGCTGTTAATCATTTCACAACCTGCTCGCATTTTGGGGGTTCCACACACACAATACGTGTAAATTCTAGAGTGTAAAGATGAGAATTCCTGACTTCGGCGTCGCAAACCGGCTTTCTGGGGTTTAGGGCTCAACGCACGTTCATCCATCCACCTTTGCGTGCACTGTCATAGATGCGACATTTCTCTTTCGTTTTTGGGTGGATAGCCTCTGATGTCGTTTCTTTGACGTCCGTCGGACATGCTACACTCTCAGGTGTTTTTCCACGAATTCTGATTGCGCATACTGCTCCATCAACCTCCGTCGGTGAGTGCTACGACTCTTCGCGAACTGAGTTCCTGTAATTTGTCAATTCCATGTACTTGTGCATGTTTTGGTATCAATCGGGAGTATACGACAGGTTCGGGTGTGAAATCATCTCGCTGCTGGGCTCTGCATTAGGTCAGAGATGAAGGGTGCTTCAGAAATTTTCGACCTACGTTTCAGGAATCTGTTAGTGAAATTGCCGTGTCGAATTTAGAACACTTAGCGAGCTTCCACCAGTTGGGAGATACAGGGTCTGAATTTTGCACGAATTGCGAGAAAAGTGCGGATTTACGCCATACATGGTTCGTCGTGGGTTTTGTTTTGGTGGTGAGGTGTGAAACTGGATAGCCTAATTGCGAATATATTATTTTAACTGAGGAGTGTGTTGCTGTTACAGAGCTTCGTGTAGGTTCCGGTTAGGTTACCCGAGTGCCTGAATCCAGTATTAAGCTTTGAAGGGGAGGTGAGGAGAGGGGACGGCGCCATGGCTGCCGTGGAAGTGATGAGGGCGAGGCTATCAGTGCCTGCTGCAACAGGCAGAAGAGCTGAGCTACGGCACCCTACATCCTCATCTTCATATCTGACACTGGCATGCAGCAATTGCTCATTCCCTTCTGTGTCGATGAGAAGAGACGACCAGTTATTGCCAAGGGCTAATAAGAAGACATCATCAAAACCACTGCGCCTCTACAATGAGCTCATGTGCTCCTTTGTGGGCAGCAGCATGCAGAGCTCCATTGCAGGGGAAGGAATGTTTTCTGCCTGGAAAGCTGTGGAGCGCACCCACCAGAGTTCCCAATCCCGCGGCCGCCGTGGTGTCGTTACCATGGTTATTCCATTCCAACGGGGAGATGCTAGGCAGCAGCCACCTCCAGATTTGCCATCATATTTGTTCAAGAACCGGATTGTCTTCTTAGCGATGTCGCTCGTTCCCGCCGTCACCGAACTCGTCATGGCAGAGTTGCTGTACCTGCAATACGATGACCCTGAGAAATCCATTTACATGTACATCAACTCCACGGGAACCACCAAGGATGGCGAGAAGCTGGGCTACGAAACCGAAGCCTTCGCCATTTACGACACCATGCGGTACGTAAAACCCCCCATCTTCACATTGTGTGTAGGCAACGCTTGGGGCGAAGCTGCATTGCTCCTTGCGGCAGGCTCCAAAGGTAACCGTGCTTGTCTCCCCTCTGCAACCATCATGCTTAAACAGCCAATTGCCCAGTTCCGGGGCCAAGCTACCGACATTGACATTGCCCGGAAGGAAGTTCGGAATGTGAAGGAAGAGCTCGTCAAGCTGATCTCAAGACATACAGGTCAGACTGTGGAAAAGATCACCGACGATATCAGGCGACCCAAGTATTTCAAACCCGATGAAGCTGTGGACTATGGCCTTATTGACAAGGTTCTCTATGCTGAAGGAGATGAGAAGAGGAGTATTGCTTCGGATCTCAAAAAGGCGCAGCTCATCTAATTCAGCTCATGTCACAAGTATGACCCAGCCTTGGTCTCATAGAGTAATTAGCCACATCGAAGCTGGAATCAGTCCAGTTTCTTTCTGTAGATCTGTAGGAATGGTGAGCATGTGTTGATGATTTTTTCCTTCATGTTTTCAACACTGCAACATTTCATGTAGGCATTCTATCTTCACGTGAAATCAGTACTCCAATTCGACCAGATTTTGAGGTGTTTGGTTTGAATGTGCAATGTTGTCGAATGTGTAGAATGCATAAAACGGTGACCCAGTTGAGCTCTTGAAGTTGTGAATGTGCAATCTGGACATGAGGATGGCTTTGCAATTAGACTTTGTCGTTGAATGACTTTCCTTGCTTTAATATTGATAACTCGTGGAAGACAATGCAGTTTGAGCTTTGCGTCTGGACTTTCAATAGTGCATGTTTTGACTCAAAAATGGGTTCTTGTATAAGACATATTGCTGTTTATGCATAAAATCATGTGCACCTGGAAGAAAACTGAACAATGTGGCGTATTCTGCACCTTCGGAGTAAATTTATATGTGGAGTTCTTCAGAGATTTCTGCATGTGATTTGGGTATTTTTTCCTACTCTAGTCTCCTGATTTTTTTGAGTTCGATTCAATTGAGATTATAATATTGGCATCTAATTGAACATACTTCGAGTCTTCGAAGTGCTATTGATAGAACTATTTGGTTCTGAGTTTGTCAAGGTTGAGTTCGATGTACTGATTAGGTGGTATTGGTTTGGAAGAAGTGGGCACCAATTTTGGTTCATATTGAGGCATCTCAGGGTTTATTTTAAAATTATCTTTAGTCTTGCCAATGTTCATGCTGAGATTGTTTTTTAATTAGAATAGATCCTCAAATAGTATAGAACACTATGCCAATTATTATTGCTAGGCTTAATCCAAATTTGATATTGCAAATTGTAGTGGTATCTACTACAAAATGTATAGCTTAATTACTTATTTTTTAAAGTTGAATTGTCAGATGTTTGTTTGTCATAATTTCTAATTTGAAGATAATAATAATAATAATAATAATGATGATGATAGATCAATCATGTTGAATGACAAAGAGGTTTTTTGTGATAATATATTACATCTTTCTGTTCAAAGTTGTCTACAAAAATAGAAATATGAAGGCAACCCTAGAGACAACTTTTTTTATTTTTATTTGTGACATTTTTTCAAATAAAAATTCTTATAAATTTTGGTTTCAACCGCTATTGACAGAATGATGTTCAACGAATTCGGATACTATGTTCGTGTTATCTTAACATGTTCTGTATTTTTTCATCTTTTCAGAAGAGAATTGACAATTTGCACGTTTTACTCTTGGTTTTATTTACCAAATTCCGAAGCATCAAGTTGAGAATATGGACGTGCAATGTATTTTAAAGCTTTGGTCTCCTTGGGCTGCGTTCTTTCGACTTGCTGACATAATCTCTTTTGTTCGAAATTGCCACCCACTCTACATCACCTGCATTCACTTTTAGTTACCTCAAGTTCAACTACTGTTCCCTCTAGCAACATGCAGAGAATAACTAGGTTACATGATTGGTCACCTGCAGCACAGGTGATGATTCCTACGGCGGCATGGGATCAACAGTTGGAAGTGGACTTAAAATAAATAAATAAAACAAAAAAACAAAAAAAAACACTTCATCCTACGAAGGTGAGTCATGCCAATTGTCTGTGTAACTTGTAAATTGAACGAGCTTCAGTCCAGCATGACACTACACCAAACAGTCTTTTACTGGAGTTTGAAAAGGACAACAAACTCAAATTCTATGCAAGATAATTGGATTAAGCTAGTGTCTGTGGCAATGAATGCAATATTAATTGGCCAGCAAGCATGATACTTTAACAGTTCATCTCAAGACAAGATGTGTTTGCTGGACCCCAATTTGTGAGGTGTCGATGACTGCACCATGTATTAGGTTGTACTGAAAAAAAATGCAATGCACATCATACAGTTAAACTACTGCAATAATTTTCAGAAAAAGAGTACACTAAACTCAAACAATTACAGGTCACTAGGATCTTTTCACTTAGTCTTAGCTTTCTGCGACGTAAGCCTAGATTCTACTGGCATAAACTGACTTTCATGTTTCAGTTGGGCTTCAAGCTCGGTGTCACCTGCTCTGTGAGCTGCCCGTATGAGGATGCGGTACATGGCTTTATCCACGGGGCATCCAACTGCCTTCATGTCCTTGAACAGCACAAGCGCCTCATCCAGCCGGTCATCAAACGCAAGTCCATCAATTCTCACAGCGTAAGAGAGAGTGTCAGGCTCAACACCCTTGTCCTTCATTTGCTGAAATAACCGAGCTGCTCTCTGATTCTCTCCTCTCTTACCGAGCATGTCCATGAGCCGGTTATACGTCACAACATCGGGCCTGCAACCCGCAGTTTCCATCTCCTCGAGCACAGCGAATGCTTCATCCACTTGTCCATCTGTAGCCAACCAATGGATCAAACTATTGTATGTCTTTGTCTCCGGAATAAAGCCTGCTTCCACCATTTCTTCGAGCATTTGTCTTGCCTGGGCTGCATCTCCAAACCTGGCATAACTATCAATAAGTATGTTGTAGGAGATCAGATCGGGCTTACAGCCCGACTCCACCATACGTGCAAAGACTTCACGAGCAGCGTCTGGTTTATTAGCTTTCCCTAGCGCATCCATTATAGTATTAAATGAAAAAGCATCAGGATGAAATCCCTTCCGAGACATCTCCTTCATCAGCTTCCAGACACGGTCCATGTTCCCCGCCTTCGCCAAAGTGGCCAGCAGGCTGTTGTAATTCACTAAATCAACAGCCACCCCTCTGTCCACCATTTCTCTGAACACTTTGTGCGCTTCTTCTACTCTGCCAGATTTCCCTAACCCATTCACTAGAGTTGAATATGTGTAAGAATCCGGACTACAGCCATCCCCCGTCATTTTGTGGAACAGCTTCCTAGCAGCCCCAACACGTCCAGCACTGCACAATGCGTCCAAGAGGATGTTGTATGTCACCACCGAAGGCTGGAAACCTCTCCTCTTCATCTCAGCGAAGAGTCCCAAGGCCATATCTAATTGGCCGACCTTCCTGAAAGCGTCCATGAGGAGGTTGTATGTGGGGATGTTTGGAGTTAAACCTCTCTCAAGCATGGCATCAAAGAATGAGCGAGCTTCCTGCACCCTCCCTGCCTTGCCGAGAGCATTCACCAAAAAGCCGTAAGTATATTCATCAGGCTCTGACCCCTTTATCTTCATTTCTCTGAACATCTCCATAGCCGAATCCAGTTGACCAGAGCGGCCGAAGTAGCGGATCAAAACGTTGTACGCAAAACGGTCCAGCTGACATCCTTTCTGCACCAGCTTCTTATACACAAGTTCTGCTCTCTCAAACTCTCCGCTGTTGACAAGAATGTCTATGAGCTTGGTGAAGGCGTGCACTGTGGGACTGCAGGCAAAAGATTCTGCTTGATTGAAAAGATCAAATGCATCACCGGATTTATTGCCACGGCCATAGGCTGTGATGAGCTTCACCAGTGTGTTGGGTCGCAGTGGACGACCCTCGGCAACCATTTCCTTCAACAAGGTTTCTAGGGGATCAAGAATGCCCCATGAGGCTAAAACAACCAACATAGTGTTAAAGGAAGTTATGCTATGCTTGAATCCATTCTGTGCTTTGGCCCAGTAGAAATACTTCAACCCTGTCTCCACCTCTTCGCGTCCTTCCAAACGCCATAAAACTGTACTAACCTGATCTGGATGAAGTGTTCCCCTAAACTGCGAAAGTGCCTTCTCTGAGCTAGAAGTCCAGGGTAAATTCTTGACGATGGTTAACATTTTCGCTACATTTCCAACAGAGGACGGTGAAATTTCTACATTTGGCAAAGTATCTTGAGCTAATACATCTCCTGGCCTATCGAGAGGAGTTTTTTCACATTGTGGATCCGGATTCACACCGGGTTCCTCTGGAAATTCTGGCAAAGTGGAAGCATGTTTAAATAAGCGGTTTCTACAAAAAATGAAACCTGAATAGTGCGTATGTCGTATTCCACTCAAAAATAATTGATGTGATGGCGTAGAGGAAGAAAGCAAATCATCCTTAATATCAGATGAGCCAAAGTGGTGCAATTGACTTGAAACCCAGATTCCTGGATTCCTTTCGACCCCGTTGCTGGCAATCAATCTAATGATTCCCTTCACCTGCCGACTCACGCAACGCTTGGCCATATCTGACTATCAAGCACCAATCTCTAGGCATTGATCCAACATGAGCTCAATCATTCTCAACCCTCAATTTGGTGGCTCTGCAAACCATAATTTGCCTGGCTCGAACCGCCGGAGCGTGCATTCTGCATACAAACTACAATTGGGTCAATATGAATGCATGGATTTCTAGCTAAACCAAGAAAACGTAGCGAGATACAATTCTCATATGCGCACAGTAGACTGGGTGTGGCAACAGGATCACAAGGGGACATGATGAGAACGATTATTGTCAGCAACTAAGACCCGAAAAGTCAAACAACTCTTGACGTCTTCGAAACCAAAAGTGTGACAAGTTTTCCATATGCGGAAATTCCAACAAGAACGAAAAGACAGCAAACAAGACGAAGGAACATTGCTTTTCGAAACAAACAACCAGAACTCTTTTCTCTACAGAATGACACATTATATGCGTAACACTCCGGCCCCTGATTCAATACCAGCTTGTTCAATGAATATTCAAGTGATCAATAACTCAGAGTTCAAACTACAACCCCAGAAACTCCTAGATCAACACCTTACTCAAAATTCACGCACGAAATCAAGGTACAGGGCTGACCTGAATGTACGCATTCAATAAAAACCCAACAGCGAATTCAATCGTGCTTTTCTGGGCGCATCACGTAATGTTTCGAAAAACAAACCCTTCAATGCCGAAATTGTGAAAATGCCACAAAATCTATCGACGCTCTTGCCGGTCCCCTGCCTTCCAGGCTCCGTCAGAGAGCTTGTGCAGTAAATGCTCTTTCAGGGTTTAGGATTTTTCTTTCTTTCTTTCTGCGGGTTCAAAAACAGAGTTGCGCGGTTCGCGTGAACGAATGTTATACATCCAAATCCGTTTTCATTCATCCTACGTCACCGAGTCGAGGGAACTGGGTGCCCCGGTGAGGGTTTTTCCATAGCCTGATTTATAATTAGTTAAAAAACAATTAACTCGGAATTCACAAAATTTATTATGGTATTATTAATAATAATAAATTATTAAATTTTGAATTATTTTATTTTTGTGGTTGAAAATTTATGTAAATTAACTCTCTCCACGTTACAAGCAAAAATGTCTTTAAAATACACATTTTGATTATTTCTCTACAGAAGTTTATATGTGATTGTTTTTCCAAAGGCGAGGAGTTATTTTATATATGTTTATCAATTTCAGGATCATCATTATATATATATATATATATATATATATCATTTTGATAATAATTTATTCATTTTTTTAAAAGCTTTATTTATAAATTATATGATACCATAAAATTTTAAAATTTTAATGTGTTATATTCTAATGCCATCTTAAATGATTTTTTTTTATCATGTTGATTGGGACTCGAAATATTCAAGGGCGTTTTTTTCAAACCATACCTTTATTTTGTTATTATGCCTTCAAACAACACTCTTCCACAAATAAATCTTGGTTGCAAGTAAATGAATTCTTTTGATATATATATATATATATATAAATCTAACATAATATCAAACCTTTGTGGAAAGGATAAATTAAACATAATAAATATTATGAATTTCGAGGTTATATATATATATGTATATATATCAAACCTTATGGCAAGAATAAATTAAACTCTAGTTTCCAAAAGATTCATTTACTGTATGGGTCTCCTTAATTGTATTTCTATTCATAAGGCAATTTTATGTCACATGATAATGTCAATAATGGTTCCTTGTTCAAACAGTTGTGAAGTGCCTCTACATTGTATTCATTCTCTTACTTCAAGATTTCACTACAGGCTATATGTGAAGCTTGTAATGAAAGTTTTTTTTTTTTTTTTTTTTTTTTTTTTTTTTCTTTTTTCTTTCAATGAACAAAAGAATTAGTTTGAAGTTGTAAAGTAACTTTGTTCAATGATCAAATGTAGCAAAAATAAAAATAAAAAATAGAAAAAATAACATAAAATAAAATAAAAAAATCTTGCTTTTATTTGGCATCATCATCAAGTATGTTTCTACAAATTCAAGGACTAATGGACCACAATGATACTTGGAATATTGCATAGTATGCATTGTCTTTGTAATGACTTGCTCTTTGTTATGACTTCTTTAATACATCTTAGAAACACACATTATTACACCAAGGATCATGACCACATCACCACAAAGGGAATTGATGATTGATATCCAAAACCACATGCAAAAGACTTCTATTGAGAAGAGTATACACATGACCTCAAATTCTTACAAGAATAAACGATGTGTTTTTATATATAAAAGATTATATATATATATATATATATATATATAAAGAAAGAGAGATAATTCAATATATATATTCTTAAAAAGGTAAAAACCACCTCCAATTATGAAAATATCATTTTAACGATGTTTTTACCTATGAACATTATAAATGTAGCTTTCTGCTTATATTTAGCTTCCAAATCACATAAATTAACATAATATGTTGACGTGATATTCAAAAGTTTTCAAAGAGTATAATTATTAAGTTGTTTTGGTATACATTATTTTGTATAAATTATTTTGTTTTTCTAATTCTTATCTTTATATAATTTATTTCATTCACAAAAAGAATTAGATTGTATCTTCCAATCCATCCACTACTTGTGTAGGTTTCATTTAAATCCACTTCTACAACTTTGTGTTCATGGTGAACTTAAAAACATGAGGTTTATTGTTCTTGTTGCCTAAGTATACAAAGTCTTGTGTAAACTTCTTTAAGAAAGTATAAGATACTTATCCACCCATTGAAGCATCCAAATTATGTTACTCAATCACTTGCTTTTAACATGTTGCTTCTAAAACAGAATAAAATAAAATAAAATAAATCTCTGTCCTTTTATTTCAGTTACTAATATAATACTTAAGTTTTTTTAAAAATTGTCACAACATGCTGCAACAACTCTACTGCAATTTATATGATTGTACTTTACTTACCATTGCCATGAATATATTTTTCTTGTAAATTTTAATTACAATTGTAAAGTGCCTTTAAGATATCATAATATCTCCAAATGCCCCAAAATATTTGCAACATAGAAAGTCACAAAATTGTCAATTTGGGGCAAGTTATTATTGTTGTCAACTGTTGCTTTTTCAAGTCTTATCAATTGATGCACATATCATTTCTGTTAGTTTTTATTATCCATATAAGTATATATATATATATATATATATATAATCTATTATCAGTGAGCATATCAAATATGCTATGAGTTCAATCAACTTAGTGTATTCAACCAATATGGAATTTTTGAAGGTGGTCCAGAAATTGCTTTTACTTCAATATTGAAATGTAACTTTTCCAAGTACAAATTTTAAAAATAAAATCATTTGGAAACACATACACATACAATTGTACCTCCCTAAATCAATCCTCCACAACTTGATAAAGAATGTATTCAATGCTTAAAGTATTATTGCAATTTATTTCCATGCACAATTGTGGTTTTATTATATGCAAATATAAACATAAATTGGAATAGCAGTTATATTATAATATTTTTATACTAATAATTATACTTTGCACGATTTATTTTATTTTATTTTTATTATGTATTCTTTAGAATAATATTATATTCTATATTAAAAGTAACAGCTTATGTCTGTTTAACTTCTTAATTTTTTCAAAAGTATAATTTGGACGTGGTTGAATACAAGTAAGTTAAAAGAGGAACAAAATAAATAAATAAATAAAAATAAGAAGCCACTATGCATTGGGAACCTCCAAAAATTATACATTCCCTATGACATGAATCCCAAAAGAGACCAAGAGAAAAAAAAACATGGAAAACATAGCTTTAAATAAAAAGTGAGCTAAAAAATGTCCCAAAGTAGGAAAAAAGAAAAAAGAAAAAAGAACACTCTACCATCCTTGTTGAGAATGTTTAGAAAGACACAAGAGTAATAGTAAGTCATACACACACACAAGAGTAATAGTAAGTCATACACACACACAAGAGTAGTAGTAAATCATACACATAAGAGGGTTTCTAAGGGGAGAGAGCTTCACACACACAAATCTATTGATCTGGTTGTGTCTTGTATACAAGAAGAGAAAAGAGGAGAGGATAAAGAGTACTTCTTTACTAGACTCTAAATATTGTAGCTACAATATTTATTGTAGTCTACAGTAAATATTATGGAGAACGTCGGCTACATTTAAGGATCTCAACACTCTTCCTCGTTCATCATAATATTTACATAATATAAAATTTGTATAGAATTATAATCTATACTTTTCTGTGATCTTACAAGATCAACAATTGTTGCCTCATTAAAACCTTATCTAGGAAAACCTTATTTTATTTAAGAACAAAACCATAGATGAAGGAAAAAGAGTACAATATCATTTTCTTTAATTATTTAAAGAGCTCATTAACTTTCTTATTCAAGAAAAGCAAGTCGCCACATACCAATGCTATAAGTAAGTCGACGATGGTTTCTTAATGGAAGAGCTTTGATAAAAAGATCAGCAAGGTTATTTGTAGATTTAATTTTCTTAATTATAAGTGCTTGATCAGTAATCAAGTCATAGATATAACTAAAATACTTTGGATCAATATGTTTTATCCTGTCACCTTTAATAAAACCAACTTACATCTGTAGAATACAAGTACTATTATCTTCATGCAAGATAGTTGGAGAATCATCATATGAAAATCCACAAGTTGTTTGAATGAATTTATGAATTGATCGCAACCAAATACATTCTTGAGATGCTTCATATAAGGCAATAATTTTTGCATGGTTGGATGAAGTTGCAGTTATTGTTTGTTTCATTGATTTCTATGATATTACAGCTCTATGTCTTAAAAATACATATCCTGTTTGAGATTTAGCTGTTGCAATATTAGATTTATATCTTGCATCACAATATCCAACCTATTTTGGATCTGTGAATTTTGTGTACTATAATCCCAAGTCTTCAGTACCTTTTAAATAACATAATAAATATTTGATGCCATTCCAATGTCATAGTGTTGGACGTGCACTATGTCTTGGAAGAACACTAACTGCAAATGTAATATCTGGTCTTGTAGATGTAGCTAAATATAAAAGTGCTCCAACCGCTGCTAGGTATGGATATTGGTCTCCCAATATTTCCTCCTCCTCCTCGCATGGACGGTATGGATCATGAACCATCACGACCACGCCCAACCATTGGTGTGGACAATGGATAAGCATCTATCATATTAAATCTTTGCAAGATTCGTCTAATATACGTTAATTGGTAGAGAAAAATGCTACCATCTATTAGATGCATAATCTGAAGACCAATGTAGAAAGTTATTTTTCCTAGCATTTTCATCTCAAAATCACGTATAAGTAGGTTTGTAGCTGTAACACATGTAGATGTAGTATCCACTAGGTTAAGATCATCAATATATACAGTGATGATCACAAAACTAGTTTTATCTCGTTTGATAAATAAACAAGGGATTAGTGGATCACTTATAAAATTATTTGTAATTAAATAATCTCGAAGATGTTGATACCACATTCATTTGGATTGTTTTAAATCATACAAGGCCTTACATAATTTAATACCACGATATTTTTTTGGATCGGGTTAATTTGGACTTTTTGTTTCTAAGTCAGGTGGAACTTTCATATAAATATTTGCATTAAGAGATCCATATAGATATGAAATTACTACATCTATCAGATGCATCTCAAGGGTGGCATGAACTATCATTCCAATAATATATCAAAATATAATTGAATCCATGATTGGAGAATATGTCGATTCATAATCAATGCCAAATCGTTGAGTAAATCCTTGAGCAACAAGACAAGCTTTATAGCGGGTTATTTGGCCTTGAGTATCTCGCTTGCATATTAATACCATTTTATATCCTATAGGGTGAGATGTAAGAGTGTCTACAATTGGACCAAAGACTTTCCTCTTACGCAAAGAGGCATACTTCTCTTCAATAGCAATTTTTCATTTTGACCAATTTGAGCGACACATCGCCTCTTAGATGGTTTGACGTTCACGATCATCTTCCTTGTAAGAGAAGGCTTCTATAATTATATATGCAAATGATTCATCTACTATAATAGATTGTCTGTCCCAAATATCATATGTAGCACAATACAGAATAGATAATTCTTTACTCAATTTGTTCTTATTCCTTCCAATTCCAAGATTATTTTTCATAGGAATTGAAGGTACATTATGTATGGATATATCATCATGAATTGGTAGTCCTGCAAGATGAGTGGCAATTTCTTCAGAAATAATACTAGGATTAGTTAATTTTATAGCTTTCTTCTTACGTGGTTGCTTATCTGGTCCACGAGTTCTTTTAATTGTTGTTGTTATAACTTGAGGTATTGTAGTCAATGGCACTACAATCTGAGCAGGTGCATTCTGAGCCTCATTAATAGGAACTCTGGTAATTCTAGGTGCATCATTGAAGCCATCATGTATTTCAACCGCGATCCGTTTTAAATGCAAAATCTTAGCAACTTCAGTTTTTGCCAAAGATATCCTAGGATCGGGATTCATTGTAAACGTTTTTGGTGCTTCAAATATGAGTACTTTATTTCTTTATTGATTGGATACTCCTCCTTGAAGAGATGGAAATACAGTTTCTTCAAAATGGCAATTTTACAAACGTGCACGTAATAATGTGCGAGTTGATGGATCAAGAATACAAATAATGCTTGGTGAATCAAAACCAACATATATGCCTTCTTATCAATGAGCTCCAATGGTACGGCATTGAAGTTTTGGTACTGGAATCTAAGCACGAGAACCAAATACTCGAAAGTGAGATACATTTGGAACACGACCCAAAATGAGCTCATGTGGTGAAATAATTTCAAGAGAAGAAAGACAGAGGGGTATTAATGTTGCAGCATGTAAAACTGCATGACCCCACATACATGCAGGTAGATTTGCGTGAAGGAGGAGTGGCGGGGTAATGAATTGTATACGCTTTATAAATGACTATGCAAGTCCATTTTGAGCATGTTCATATGGAACACAATATGTCAATTCGATTCCTGTTGTAGTACAATAGTCTTCAAAAGACTTTGATGCAAATTCTTTTGCATTATCCATACGCAATGTTTTTACAGGATAATCAAGAAAATATGCCCGAAAGCAAATAAGCATAGATATAAGATTGGCAAACACCATGTTTCGAGTTGATAATAATGAAACATGTGATTGTTTACCTCATGCATCAACAAGGACCAAAAAATAACGAAATGGTCCTCATATTGGATTAATAGGACCACAAATATCACCATGCAATCTTTCAAGCATTGGTGGTAATTCTTGTAGAAGTTTCCAAATTGAAGGCTGAGTAATCATTTTACCTTGCATGCATGCATGACATAATTCCATAGAGTCTACATTTGCAGGCTTTAAATTGTGCCCAATTATACACGGAATGATCTTTCTAAATAATGTGGATCATGGATGTTCCAATCGTCCATGCCAGAGAGAAACACGACTCTCTGAGATAGATGATACAAAATTAAATATAATAGGAGGCCGAATCACAATTCGGTATAAACCATTTTCTGTAGCAAAAGCTTTTTCAATAACTTTATGATTCTTTGCAAGAACCAAAACCTCTTTTCTATTTAAAGTGGCGGTCGAGAGATGATAACCATTAATATGCACATCTCGGTAGCTGATCAGACTCTGAGGTGTTGAGGGTGTAAACATCGCATGTTTACATTTTATGATGGAACTCGCAGGTAATTTTACCATCGCTATGCCTTCTTCGAAACAAAACGCATTTGCTCCAACCATGGTCATCATATTTTTAGTTTGCCAATTGAAGATTTTTCAATAAAAAATCATCTATCTCGCAAGATAGTATGTATTGTTGCAGAATCAATGAGCGCATCATTTGATTCATCATTAGAGATTCTATCATTCATATAAGCCTCTAAGTCATCTACACCAATTGAATCCATAGACGCATCTATGGTATGAACTTCATGAGCCTCAGCTCACAATTTCTTATTTTCTTGGAATATTTTAATAAAATATTCTGAAGTACGGCACGCATGTGCTAAATGTCCAAACATTCCGCACTTATGGCAAGAACGCATCTTTGATTTTTGTTTTCTACTATAATTAATAGTAGAACGTTTATTCTTTCCATATGGATAGAAATGGTCTTGACTATGACTACTCTGATACTTATAAGTACGTTTCCCATGTTTATATAATTTCTTCTTAGACTTTGAAATATTAAGTGCATGAGATTCTGGAATTGTAGTTCTAATAGGACGAGCTTCCGCATTGCGTAAGAGTAGTTCATTTTGCTTCTCCACAAGAAGTAGATAAGACATGAGATCAAAATGACTTTGAAATTTCATGTTCGTGTATTGTTGTGCAAGCACAGCAGATACAGGAGGAAATGTAGAGAGATTTTTCTCAATTATTTCTTCTTCAGAAATGCTTTATCCACATAATCGTAATTGTGAGACAATACTATACATTTCACTATTGAAAGCATTTAAATTTAGAAAATCTAAGACACGTAAATGTGTCCAATTATGACGTGCACATGGAAGAAAAATGGTCTTTTGATGATCAAACCTAGATTTAAGATTCTTCCAAAGTTCTGCAGGATCTTCCATTTCCAAACATTGATGTTGTAATGCAGGTACAAGATGACGACGAAGGAGAAGAAGTGCTTTCTAACGAATAGCAGGAAATATAAAAATACTTGTTGTAGGAGATTCTTCAAACATAATGGCATCCGAGAGTTGTTCTGCAAATAAATTTGCTTTTGCCATTTTTGCCCATAATAGATAATTGTTTCTATCCATAGTCAATGGTGGAAATAAAAGAGCTTGAAAATGTTGGGATGCACTAGTAATAGTTGGAACCATAGTAGAAGCAGTTGAAGATGTTGAAGCACTCATTATAAATAAATCTATAAAGAAAATACAAGATCAAGTAGAAAAGTTGAGTAAAACGTACCTTAAAATATAAAGTCAAATAAAATGATAAACTTGAACTTGAAAAAACAAAAAATATATATATATATATATATATATATATGTATACATATATATATATATATATATTAAAGAGATAGTAGATTAAGGCAACAGAACAATAATAAGGTGGCACAGCTAGCAGCGGGAGGCAATGGCAGGCGGCAGCGTCAACGGCGATAGGGTGGCAACGGCGACAGTGGCGGATTTAGCGGTAGTAGGGGTGGAACATGGCAGGGAGTAAGGAGCAAGCTAGAGTGGAGTTGAGCAGAGAGTGCTCTAAGCAAGCTAATGTGTGAGGGGCTAGTAAGAAGAACAAGATCATGAGGCAGACATTGAGAAAGGGTAGCAACAGGTTTGAAGAGTCAAAGACTAGAGCAAAAAATTGTAATAGTGTGTAGAAGAGAGTCGTATTGATAATGTGTTGAGAATGTTTAGAAAGACACAAGAGTAATAGTAAGTCATACACACAAGAGGGTTTCTAAGGAGAGAGAGCTTCACACACACAAATCTATTGATCTGGTTGTGACTGGTATATAAGAAGAAAAAAGAGGAGAAGATAAACAATACTTCTCCACTATACTCTAAATACTGTAGCTATGGTATTTACTATAGTCTACAGTAAATATTATGGAGAGCGCTAGCTACATTTAATGATCTCAACAATCCTTAAAGTTAATGGAATCCCGACACCACACAAAAGTTAGTTTTCCACACAGTACACAAAAGGGACGACTATTCATCCAGAATATGGACGAAGGACGGAGAAAATCCTGGAGAGACTCATTCATCCCCCCCAAACAACAAGACAAGTCATTCATCCCGCAAGGCTAATAATTCATCCAAAATATTCAATCGAGGGAGACGATTCATCCACTAAACCCCTCGCCCCGTGACACGTCAACCGTCGCGACGACGGGAACCCGTAGACGAACAGACGAACGACGTCGGGGTTTATCCAACGAAATCTGGGTCTGGGAGACCCTATCCAATAGATCGCCATATAGAGAGATGAGGGGGAAAGGGATAGGTGGCGCCATTGTATTATTATTATTATTATTATTAGTGTATTATAGAATTTTATGTATTGTATTGAATTGTATGAGTTGGGGTTGGGAGGGGAGGGGGGGTTTTTATGTTTTTTATTTCGATTCCTCAGTCATTATGTTCCTCTCTTTTTTTTCCACGGTTTCCTGGATCTGCTTGTTCCCAGATTCGAGCTTTGTGGGATTTTTTAGCTGAGCGTTATGAGCTTTTGGGGAGTTTTTTTGGAGTGAGGTTGTTGTTGTTGTTGTTGTAGTAGTAGTTGATGTGTTGAGGGGAATTGTGTTGTAGTGTTAGGGGTGGGGTGTTTGTTGTTTCTCACTATGGCTGCCTTGGCTGCTGCCACTACGGTTGTGGGCCAAGCTGTGACCCTCAAGGGTTTATCGACCTCTGCGTCTTCCTCCTCCTCGTTGCTCAAGAGCGATGCCAGCGAGTTTTTTTGTGCCCAGAAGCTGAATTTATCGAAAGGATATCACTCTTCGTTGCGGCTTCGCAGTAATGTAGGAGCCCATTTCTATGTTTTTGTGTGAGTTTGTTTGTTTTTGAGAGTTGAGAGCAGAATTTGGGGGATTGTTCACGCTTTGGGGATGGGCTGTTTGTAATGTGGGTGGTTTGTTGAGGGTCGGGCTGACTGAAATTTGGGATTGGGTGCAGGGAAAGAGCAGGATTGCGGCATCCGCGGTGCCGGACTCCTCTGCAGAGTACCCTGCTGAGAAGCCACCGACTCCCCTTTTGGATACTATTAACTATCCTATGCACATGAAGAACCTCACCGTGCGAGTACGTCTGGCACTCTGCACTGGAACCGACCTATCGTGTGTCTTCAATCTCGACAGAATTCCAGTGTTTGCATAGACATTTCTTTGTTTTCTGGTTATGTTTTGGCCAAACTGTTCCGTGTTTGTTATTGGCCATTGTGGCACGGGTCTAAGTGACTGTTGCAACCGTGCTGTTAGAAGTCTTACTGCGTTAACTTTTTTTAATTGCTGGTTATTGTACTTTTATTTTTGTTCGTTTTTGTTTTACAGATTTCTTCATGTAATTTTGTTTTGTAGGAGCTGAAACAACTCGCTAATGAAGTGAGAGCAGAGACCATTCACACTGTGTCGAAGACTGGAGGACATTTAGGCTCCAGTCTAGGTGTGGTGGAGCTCACCGTGGCCCTTCATCATGTCTTCAATTGTCCGGAAGATAAGTTTTTGTGGGATGTTGGTCATCAGGTGTGTGGTTCTTCTTCACATTTTCAATACAGAGCGATTGCGTTTTGTCTTTTCTCTAATGAAGGGAATGCATGTAGCTGTCTAGTCTTCTGTATGCACGTTTCTATATTATGTATTTCTGTCGCCAACTGAACCTAGTGATACCACCTGGTTGTAGTCACACAAGAAAGTATGCTTATATGTGATTTCAGATACAGAGCCCTTCTCTGGGTTTTACGTTACATTCCTCCCCTTGTTGAAATGCGATTATAATTCTTCTGTTCCATTGGAACGTCCTCACAGTTCAGGAACAACCATTTGTTAGGATGAATGATAGTGCGCACTCGCTAGAAGACGCCTCGTTTTAATTTAATTGTTAGTTTTATTGGTTTCTTGCGATTTACTAATTTCAGTATAGACACTTTCCGTGATATTTTTACTCCTCTTTTTCTTTTCTTTTGTAGTTGTTATTTTGTTACTTTGTATTATGCTTATTTCCTGCCTTCTGAAGACCCTGTGCAATCATCGTGATTATCACAGACTTACCCACACAAAATTTTGACCGGGAGAAGGGGCAAAATGCACACATTGAGGCAAACCGACGGGCTTTCAGGTTTTGTGAAGAGAGCTGAGAGCGAGTACGATGCGTTCGGAGCTGGTCACAGTTCCACCAGTATCTCTGCTGGGTTAGGTGGGTTTTCTTAAAAAATGACCATGTCTGAGCTATATTTTATATACGAATATTGAATCGATTGCGAATATGGTTGTTTTGTTTTTTTGTTTTCGTTTTTTTGCTTTTGCGGTCTCTATTGTCATGTTCCTAATTGCGGTCTGTCATTGCTTACCTTCTTGGAAATGACCAACAAGCTGCTGCGCTTTGGATGTTTCAGGAATGGCTGTTGGGCGGGATTTGAAGGGCAAGAAAAATAACGTGATTGCCGTTATTGGTGATGGCGCTATGACCGCTGGACAGGCTTACGAAGCTATGAATAACGCTGGTTATCTTGATTGCAACATGATCGTAATCCTCAACGACAATAAACAAGTATCTCTACCTACAGCTACTCTTGATGGCCCTGCTCCTCCCGTTGGTGCTTTGAGTAGTGCACTCAGCAGGCTTCAGTCAAGCAGGCCACTGCGTGAGCTCCGTGAGGTTGCCAAGGTTGGTATACTTACTCTAGGATGTGGTGGTGGTGCTGTTGGTGGAATATAAACAGTTAGAAAATTTTAGCTCAAATGGATACTTACAAGGTTTTGTTTCCGCGTTCGATGATGAACTCTACTCTTTGTTTGGTCGTTGTAGGGTGTCACTAAGCAACTTGGGGGTCCAGCGCACGTGTTGGCGTCTAAGGTTGACGAATATGCTCGAGGTATGATTAGTGGTTCTGGGTCGACTCTTTTCGAGGAGCTTGGGCTGTACTACATTGGTCCTGTTGATGGTCATAACATGGACGATTTGGTGACAATCTTGCGGGAAGTGAAGAATACCTCTACAACTGGACCTGTGCTGATCCACCTTGTGACTGAGAAAGGACGAGGGTACCCCTACGCTGAACGAGCAGCAGACAAGTACCATGGTTAGCATTCGTTGCAGCTATCTGTGTTAATTTTCTGTTGACAGTCTGTGGCCTGTTGTTTGAAGAGTGTTCACGACCTAATTCTTAGTTTAAAAATGGGTCAGCGGCACGTACTTTGATGCATAGATCTGTACTTATAAATGTTTGATCTTCCCCGATTTTGATGGGTCTATGGCATGGACTTTTGAAAATATCCCAGGCTTTGGTGTTTCTCCTTCTGTTTTTATTTATGGAGAATCTACGTTTTGATGCTGTTGTGCAGGTGTTGTGAAGTTCGATCCAGCTACTGGGAAGCAGAACAAGGTAAAGGCTCCAACACAAGCTTACACCACGTACTTCGCCGAGGCATTGATTGCCGAGGCAGAGGTCGATAAGGACGTTGTTGGAATTCATGCAGCGATGGGAGGGGGTACTGGAATGAACATATTTGCAAAGCGGTTTCCAGAGAGATGCTTTGACGTGGGCATTGCCGAACAACATGCTGTGACGTTTGCTGCGGGACTTGCTTGCGAAGGATTGAAGCCTTTCTGCAGCATTTACTCTTCTTTCCTTCAAAGAGGATATGATCAGGTCGTGCATGATGTAGATCTCCAAAAGCTTCCTGTTAGATTTGCAATGGACCGAGCTGGGCTCGTTGGAGCCGATGGGCCTACTCACTGTGGGGCTTTCGATGTCACCTACATGGCCTGCCTACCTAACATGGTTGTAATGGCTCCTGCTGATGAAGCTGAGCTTTTCCACATGGTAGCAACTGCTGCCGCTATTGATGACCGTCCCAGCTGTTTCAGGTATCCCAGAGGTAACGGGATTGGTGTCCAATTGCCTGCAAAGAACAAAGGAATTCCTATTGAGGTATGTATAATTTATCAAATAACTTTTCATTCTTCAGTGAGCAAGGTTGTCTAAGTTTTGTATTAAGCTGGTCTATGTCGCTCTCTGTTTGCCATGCTGGATATTCCTCAATCCTGTTTTCAAGGTCTTGTTTTGACTATCTGTTTCCTGAACGCAGGTCGGTAGAGGGCGAATTCTACTGGAAGGTACTGAAGTGGCACTTCTAGGTTATGGTACAATGGTCCAAAATTGCCTGGCTGCTCACGTCTTACTTGCCGACCTGGGGGTCTCAGCGACTGTCGCCGATGCTCGGTTTTGCAAGCCCCTTGACCGTGATCTTATTCGCCAGCTTGCTAAGAACCATCAAGTGCTTATTACAGTGGAAGAGGGTTCTATTGGAGGCTTTGGTTCTCATGTTGTGCAATTCATGGCATTGGATGGGCTCCTCGACGGAAAGCTGAAGGTAAGTACTCTATTTAGTCCAATCGTGCCTTCAAAATGCTTATTCCTGTCCTTTTATAGTTCAATTCTGCAGAATTTCTTGTGAAATTATGAGAACCTAGGTATCGTTAAATGACTTTGGTTCGAAGAGCTTAAATCTGCCGTCCCCGCTCTTCTGAGCAGATTTTTTTACATGATTGGACAATTATGGTTGTCACTCCAGTCCAGCACAGTGAAGAAAAGTGATTCTTATTCATGCTATCTTCTTTTGAACAGTGGAGACCACTTGTGCTACCTGACCGCTACATCGAGCATGGGGCTCCCAAGGACCAGTATGCCGAAGCAGGTCTAACTGCGGGTCACATTGCAGCCACTGCACTGAACGTTCTCGGGAAGACGAGAGAAGCGCTGCAAGTCATGACCTAAGATCTTCGTGGTTAAGATATGGTGAATTCGTTGCGAACTATGATCCAGTCGACGACGGGCTTCTCATCAATCAAAGCATTACCCAGATTGCATGTCTGAACATGCCATGTAATGAACATATTCTGGTCTACTGTTCGTCTCCTTAAATTTACAAGGCAACTTCTATCATTTGCTGATTGCTTAGCAGACTTGAAGATAGGGTCTTACTCGAAAGCTGAAACGTTGAATATAGATGCTGCTACTCTAAAATTAGAGCAGTTGGATGGTTTCTAGGCAGTTATTTGGTATGCTACGCCATGGAGGGCAATCCGTACTGCACTGCTGTAGGCTTTGAGCCTAAACAATGCCAAAGTTTGTACTTTACACACTCTTGTACACTATAGTTTGATCATTCCCATTTAATAACTGTAATGGGGTGCATGATGACTCTTTTTCTCATCCAATCATCGTAATCTGTCGTGCTTCATGGAATTGCAAGCTGTCAATGTGTGTCGTGTTTTAGCAATGGATGTGAATATTGTACCACAGTTCTGGCTGTGTATGGGACCAGCAGTGCCTAACGTGTATGGTTCGGGCTGGTTCACAAGTTTCTTATCAGTCAGTCCCTTACTCTCTACATGCACTCAATCAGTTACATCACTAAGCTTCTATTTGTCTCGTGTCACCTGCTAATCACAAAGCACAGAATTCCGAGAATGATATAAACACAACAATTGGTACTTTTGGCACTAGTTACACACACAACAGTGTAGCAAGCGGGCTCGTCACAAATAGCATTGTAACCTATAAATGATTGGATTGTACTTGCAGACATGGTGAAGGCAGGAAGATAATGAGAAAATTGATCGTGAATACCGAAATCTGATTCTATGAGAGAAGTATCATATAATGGTCTGGAAACCAAAATCGACAATCCACGTTTGTGAAGCATATCGAGAAAAGCCGACGTTTGGGAATGGATTTGACAGCAATAAGTATGAAATCTTACTGGCATGCAGAAAACGAGTATTATCAGAAGAACTGTGTTGAACTGTTTAAGAATTAACAGAGCGCTTCCCTCTATCTTTTTCATGGATGAATGGTAGCAGTCCCCACCAAGGTGATAGATGAATGTTTCGGAGCTTTTTGGGATCGCTGTTGAAGCTTGCCGTCGAAAATTGTGAAGAATCCAGATTAGAGCTCGTTTTCCACCAATCCCTACCACTTCACATTGTGGGTTGTCTCTTAAATAGGTTTGGCCTTGCAGGCAAAGGCTTAGGACGTTTGGTTTCCTGAAGTTTGCAGTGTTGGCAGAGGAGTTAAGAAAGGAAAGTCTAAGAAATCATGCCTGAAGGAGAAGGTAAATTTTACATTGTTGTAGTGAGGTTGTTCTTATCTTTGGGTTTTGGAGTTTGAGGTCCAGAAGCTAGAAGGGAAGAGGCTTTCTTGTTGGCTACTGTTTCTCCAAACGTTGGAATAAGGTTCACGTTCAAGTTTGGCTTCGTCGGACTTTTCAATGGATGTTCACATCTATCTATTCGATTTCTTTCCTGCTACTGCAATGCATTTGTAATCCAAAATTTTCCAACCCGAGCAATTGCACGTCACATTTGGTTAGAATTCAGGCGATTCATTTTCAATGTCGTGTGTAGTGGTAGCGTCCCCAACGCGGGATGATGGTGGTGGTATGGAAGAGGAGGCTGGTGCATCGCAGGTCGTGACACCGTGGGAAGTAGGGTCTAAGGATGGCGGCAAGATCAATTATGACAAGCTTATTGTGGACTTTGGATGCACCAAGATGGATGCCGACACGGTGTCACGCATTGAGCGCCTGACGGGTCGCCCCGCGCATCCCTTTCTTCGTCGAAACGTATTTTTCGCTCACAGGTATTTTGTTTGTTGGAGTGCTGAATATATTGATATTCGGTGGTTTTTAATGTATTAAAATGTTAGATAGATGAATAATATAATATAGTTTCACCGTTTGTCAATGTCTCAGGGTTTTGTAGCCAATGCTAAGGTTGTATGTCTAAAACCATTTTGCGACTTCGCAGGGACTTCGACAAAATCCTTGACTCATATGAAAAGGGGGAAAAATTCTATCTGTACACTGGGCGCGGACCCTCTTCGGAGTCACTTCATTTGGGCCACTTAGTACCGTTCATGTTCACCAAGTATGTGTCACTGTGTCCACTAGCCTTCTGATTGCAGCCTGGTTTTATGGAGTTAGTCTTCTTATTTATATTGATTGACGTCCTCATGTCGATTCTAGAGGTTTAGGGTTTAGGGTTTAGGTGAGGCTTTTACGAGAATACCATGTGCTGCGCATCATGTTGTAGGTACTTGCAAGACGCATTTAAAGTCCCGCTCGTGATTCAACTCACGGACGATGAGAAGTTCATGTGGAAAGATTTGAAGCTGGATGAGGCAAGGCGCCTTGCCCGTGAGAACGCTAAAGACATAATAGCTTGTGGATTCGACGTTAGTAGGACATTCATTTTCTCGGACTTCGAATATGTTGGAGGGTACTTTTTCAGACACTTATTCTGACTTCAAGAAAAGGAGAATGAACAGTTCTGACCTGGAGAATTCTGAGTTAAATTGGAGGAAAACTTACTGTTTTTGGCTATATTTTTAGTGATTCATCGGATGGTTCTTTTTAATGGAACGTTTTTTCAGTTTTTATGGTTCATATGTAATTAAAATTACCTGATTTTGACGTGGATATATTTTTCAGGGAGTTTTACCGGAATATGGTCCGCATCGCTAAGTGTGTCACCCTAAATCAGGTAAGCTCCTCCATACTGTGTTCACTCTTTTTCGACGAGTTTGTGTATTTTGAGTAACGTGGTGAGACATTATTTTTACAGCAAACTCATTACCCAAGAGAGATTTTTCTTTGCTCTGGGCTTTGTGAACGAACGGTGTTTTGGGCCTCCTAATTGCGACGCAAACTTGCAGGTTAGAGGCATCTTTGGGTTTGTTGGCGAGGATCACATTGGGAAAGTCATGTTTCCGCCTATTCAAGTAAGCCTGTTTTTTTCTCCTTGCTTTCTTTCTTTCTTTCTTGCTGCTTGTTTGCTTGGAATGGTATTTCAACTATGGTTCATGCTTGGGGCGATCAACTGAGGTTGTTTTAGGCCGATTGGCATGTTTTGTTCTCCTTGTCTTGGAGTTGATCATGTTTAGGAATGTCCGGATCGGTCGTTTGGTTATGTCTGAATTTCCAAAAGGGTTGTTCACTGAACTCTAATAAGCACTTCAGGCTGCCCCGTCATTCCCAACTTCCTTTCCGCACTTGTTTGGAGATGCGAATCAATCGAAGAATATAAGATGCCTGATACCATGCGCTATTGATCAAGTAAGTCTCATGTTGTCTTTTGTTTCTTTGTTTTGATATGGCATCATGCCGAGGATGCTTTCTGTAAAATGTAATAATCTGATGCGACATCCATCATATGAATATCCTTGTGACACATTGACATGCAGTGAAGGTTTATTTCCTTTCATTATGTGTATTCTATCCAGTAGTTGTTAATATATTGTACCCTTTCTGTCCGCTAACTCATCCTCAACCTCTTGCAGGATCCATACTTCAGAATGACGAGAGATGCTGCTCCTCGACTAGGCTTTCACAAACCTGCCCTCATTGAATCTTCGTTTTTCCCTGCTTTACAGGTGAATACCAGTTATTTGAATGCGTCGTTGATAGCAGAGAGAGTTGACAACTTTGCATCTCTCTGGTAATAACTTGAACCGGCGGAAAGGTGATAACGCTGGATTTAAATGATGTTATGTGGGGATTGTTGCAGGGTGAAAGTGGGAAGATGAGTGCCAGTGATCCGAATTCAGCAATTTACGTCTCAGACAATCCAAAACAAATCAAGGACAAGGTAAGTAGCGCTTTTAGTGCTCACATATGTACTGTATGGAACACTGCCTTCCTTGCTTTCGTGTGAAGACTCTTTCCTTCAATGACTTGCAATCAATAGGTCGTTTCTGGTAGTGCCAATTAACCGCAAGTTTGGTGTTGGTGATTATGCTGACATGAACTTGTGTAATATTAAAACACCTTTGTGCAGATCAACAAGTCATTTTCTGGAGGAAGAGATACTGCCGAGGAACAAAGAAAATTTGGTGCTAACATTGAGGTTCTGATCTATATACACTTCTCGTGGAAACAATTATTGTTGACGGTCTCATCTCCCACATTGGATTCACATCTGAACATTTTTGGAAATGCTTGTAGGTTGATATTGCTGTGAAGTACCTGGGATTCTTCTTGGATGATGACAAGGAACTTGCGCGCATCAAAGAAGTAAGCATCTCCACAAATAATATTTTAGCTGATTGCAGGGTCGTCACTACCGACTAATTACTTGAAACCTTGCTGTGGTATCAGATGTTGGATAGCATAGGATTTTGATTCGGAAGCTCTTTTGATAGAAATATTATGTGCTGACGAAGGGAACTTTCAACTTTTATTCTTTGCAGGAATATAGAACTGGAAAACTACTGACTGGAGAAGTGAAGAAGATTTTGATTGATGTGTTGGTCGCCATGGTAGAACGGCATCGTAGGGCTCGCGCTGCAGTTACTGAGGAGGTATGTTACACTAACTGCTTCCTTTTTGTTATTTTGGCTCCCTTTGAACCCAGCATGTCCTTCAACGTCACAGTTCGAGTCTGTTGAATTCGGAGCTATGGAACAGCTTGAGTTCAATTCAGTCGATCTTCTAAGTCTCAAGCTCAGTTCACAGTTTGTAAGATCTCTACCTTTATTTTATCTCCACTAAACTTATGAAGCTCTATCGGACTTGTCTGTTATTGCAGATGATTGATGTATTTATGGCGCCAAGGCCATTACCGCACATGTTTGGGTAGTATCTAAATCTGTATCGACAGCTTCTATTGGAGACAAAAAGCTGTACTGGCCCTTGAGCAGCTTAAATTTTTGCACAGCGCACTTTTATTTTCTAGTGCTCTAAAGCATCCATCAGATGATTCCTGCAAGTATATTAACGAAGAAATTAGTCGATTTGGTCTCCATTCATCAATTTGGGAATCTCCACGAGGGGCATCTTCTCAATTATCTTATTTTATTTTATTTTTTAAATTTCTAGCTTTTGCAGAGACAATCGTATGATTATCTTGATGTGGCATCAGTATGGAGTCATCTGAGTTTATAGACTTTATTTATATGCTCCAGTCAACATCATTATTCTCCTTAATATATACTTTTGAAATTATGAACTTTGTAGTCTTTTTGAGTTTTAATATCCTGTCGACATATATGTTAAAAAAAGAGAGAAACGATATTGACAAAGTATGTTGTCTTTCTGTAAATCATAATTCTTACTGTACCTTCACGTATTGTTCAAAGTGATTCTTGTCTCATACGTGTATAAAACTTATCTTATTTTTCAGGGAATGTTACTAGCTAAGTGCGGATGTTATAGACTTGTATGGCCAATATAAGACTCTTTTTTAATCAATATAGATCGACATGAGTAATCTTACCATCCATCTACAGCCACATCACAAATCTGTGTCGCGAGGATTATCTCCAAATATAATTCCAATCGTAAGACAATCAAATCAGGTCCAATGATTCCAATAAAATTATCCCATATCTGCATCCAAATGATTAAGTACAAAAATAACATTTTTGTTTTTACTTATTTTTATCACTTTTCAATTGAGCAAAAAAATTCCCCCATATTCACACCATTTATGAATGAACCCGATTTCTATGCATTCGCAGAACCTCTTATTTAAATTGAACAAAACAGTGAAAGTAAACAAAGTAGAGTGTAAAGATGTGGGGATCCCAGTAAATTACGCGAAAGTAACACCAACGATGACAGTAAGTAAAAAGTTAGTGTATGAAAGCTGATTAACGATAGTTGTGGATGATCGATATCAACGAACAGAGACATTCATTCACATAGGGCTCTTCGGCGTCGGAGCTTGGTGACGAAGGCACAGACGCGAGGAGCTGGTTTTAGCGAAGCTTTGGTGTGTCTGTAGCGGTTGCGGGATCTGCTGCTCTTCTACGAATAGTTGATGCTTGGCCTCAGTAGCGACTCCTTTGGACTTGCGACCTCTCTCTCTATCGAATTGTGAAAGAACAGGGGAGAGGAAGAAGCGCCACTTGGAGAGGGGGTTAGTCGATTGAGGGCAAGATGCCCAAAGTGCGCACTAATCGGACGGTGTATCCCGAGGGATGGGAGCTCATCGAGCCTACTCTGCGCGAACTGGAAACTAAGATGCGTGAAGGTGTGCTCAATTGTGGACGATTCTGTTTCTTATTTGTTGTTGTAGTTTTTAATTGTAGTTTTTTCGTGAAATTTTGGATTATTCATTCATTTATTTATTTTTATTGTTGTGGGAGTTAGAGTTTTTTCAATCTGTATTTTATGGTCTGCATCAAAGCTATGAAGGAATTGTGCGTGATTTTATGAGGGTTTATTTTGGAAGTGGGTCGTTTTCTAGGTCTTCGGGTTCTGCATCTTGGAAGCTATTTGGTTGGAGGGCTTTTGGGTTTTCTTTTTCCCGTTATAGAACCAGGAGCAGTTGGAGGTTGTGATTGTGGCTAGCTCTATGTATGTCTTCGTTTCTTCGCTTTGAGGACCACATTGAGCGTTAGTTGCTGACGTATTTGTGTTTCTCGGAATCGAATTCTATCCTATTTAGTTCAGTTCGTTGCTATTAATTTTAGGGTTACATTGCGAGATTTTTTCCTTACAGTAGCCGGGCGTTTATGAGCATCCGGTTGTTGACATCTTCTTTCTCTACTTGTCCATGCTTCTATCGTAACTTAAGCAGGTTGGTTTTCACAGGTTGATGTTTTATCACGGTTGAGATTTCTAGTGTCTGACATGAATTTTTTTATGGGATGCAGCTGAAAATGAGACTCATGAGGGCAAGAGGAAATGTGAGGCTTTGTGGCCAATATTCAAGATCTCACACCAGAAGAGCCGTTACATTTATGATCTATTTTACAGACGAAAGGCCATTTCTAGGGCGTTATTTGATTTCTGCTTAGAACAAGGTCACGCAGATAAGAATTTGATTGCCAAATGGAAGAAAGTAAGTACTTCGTACCTTCATACATCATCCAAAGCAGATCATAGTAGTAGCTCTGTATTACACATGAGGTCACTACATTACTTGGTGTGAGAGCCGTGTCATGTCCCGAGTTTTATAGTTTGCTCCCGTTTTGCTTCGAGAATGTGTGAGCTCATCAGGATTCTGCTCTTGCATTTCAAGTCTGACGTCAAAATTTCTTACTTAGATGCTTCGTTATTTTCGCATACCATGTGCGGTTCTATGTAATGCGGCTTCCCTCAAGCTGGAGTTTGTTGTCTCTTGCGATTCATGCAATGTACTGTTGTCGAATGATATGCTTACGTTGGTGTTCTTGCTTGCATGACAGTCTGGTTACGAGCGCTTATGTTGTTTGCGGTGCATTCAACCCCGCGACCATAACTTTGGAACAACATGCGTATGCCGGGTACCCAAGCATCTGCGAGAGGAGAAGGTGATCGAGTGCGTCCATTGTGGTTGTCACGGATGTGCAAGCGGAGACTAATTATGTAGACTCTACGCTTGCCTTGACTTCAACTAGTTTTTAATCAGACAAGGTGGGTTTTTTGTATAATTTTAGATCCCCTCTTGTGGTGAAGCAAAATTAGTAAGCTTCTAATACCAGCCGCTTAGGAACTATCAGAGGTTTTGGGTATATCAGAGCCTAAAACGCTGCTGACTGCTTGTGGCAGACTAATGCAGAGAGATCTCAAACTGCGATAAAATTGTTAAGAATGTGGCATGATGCATGCTTATCAGTTGGATCTGAGTAGTGAAAAAGCTGGTAAGTTGTCATTTCATCACATACGTTCTTCTTTTGCTACCTTTAACCTTGTCATAATTTGTTTTCTATCTAGCAGAATTATGGAGTCAAGTGACTTTTATGAAGTGTACAAGGTCAACTCATTTAAATTGTCATGATAAGGAGTTATCACCACTGCAGTGCTCCCTCGGCACTGGTCAATCCCCTCGTGCTGCTGCACTTTTTTCACTCAACTTTCCGTGCACCAGCAGTGTGACAACGCACTTGCTTTTCTCTTTGTCGATCAATTAGCATGGGTAAGCATCAAACACTTGAATCGAATGGAGAGCTTTGAAGTAGTGGATTTAAGGCTCCTGATGTAAAAGCTCCTCCACGCCCGTCCTTCTTGATGCTGCTTGACGAGTTGGGGCATTGTATCACACGGTGGAAACTCAATTTGATTCTTTTCTAAAAACTCATATCAATAGTGGGGGAGATTGCCTGAAGAGATGCATGCTTTCTGGACTTGTGGGTTCCGAATTTCTTGCACCCCGAGTACTGTTGCCATCGTACTGCGTTGAGTGATGGACTGGGGTGTGTTCATTCTGTACGAAAAGTAGGTTGACTTGCCCAGCCTTCATTTCTTTTTTAGGGTAGGGTATTAAACTGGGCTGAACAGCATAAAGAACCAAATGGCGAATTTACTGCATTCATGAATTGAACTTCGTTAGGAAAGTGGTTGGTAACTGAGGGTTAATTTACGTTAAGGCTTTAATGGATCAACTTCGAGATTTCAAATTCGTGAAGTGAAAAGTGCTATAATCTCTGCAACCTGCGTTTGTCGTTGGTTGAGTATACAATTAGATCAAAATGTATACCTATCACGAAATATCAACACATTTTCGTGTCAATAATATCAACATGTTTTGTCAAAACGTACAACAATCGATCTCCACATTGGCATGATTTACTACTTTAACTTAATTTTCATATTTACACTCATGTGATTGTTTACACTAATGTTGTTTCAATGGGATCTCAAAAAACATAACCATTTTAATTTGTTTTTCCTCATCCCCCTTCAACTCACCCTGTTTCTGAAATAAATTAGAATAATGAAATATTACACATACTCGAATCACACGATCCGCAAAACATGTGGGCATGATCCTGGTGGTAGAGTTTTCATGTGCGGAGTAAATAGAAATTCTACAGAATAAACACCCATTGTGGATGTTTCGAGGTCTACAAACTCATCCTTAGTCCACAACAACCTCACACCACACAGTAAGACAAATTACCGACACAAAGCACGAGTCTCCAAGGAAGAGCACCGACAGCATGCCGGCACTCGACTTTTAGGGAGGGGGAGGAGGGAGTTAAGAATTTTGAATCACCGCGCCGTCTTGGCGTCTACGCCGCCGCCGCCGCCGACTCTGTCGAGCATCAGCTTGAACCAGCGCGCGGACGCTTTGGCTTGTCGGTTCAGAGTGGAGCCGATGTCTACCTGGTAGAGCCCAAACCGGATCCGGAATCCCTCGTGCCACTCGAAGTTGTCTAGAAGCGACCAGACGAAGTAGCCCCGGACATCGGAGCCACCCCTGCACACAACACCGCTCAGAAGCGTGAGATTTTTGCGAGTGTTGAATGGTTCCATCCCACGTGAAGGCAATCCAGGAATGTGAACCACTGGCGATGGCAATACTTCTTTTTGCGTTGAAATGAGGGGGGATTAACATGACCTTATGGCTGATAATAAGCTTTGCATGTAGCCATGGTGGTAGCTGATCCTGTCGAAATCTTGCACTTCTTGTGAAGACCACGGCTCGTCGTTTGCGTTCGTGGGAAAGCCTGGGACGTAGAGCAAGATGAGGTAAAGTTGTGATCAATGCTACTGTACCGAGGAACAAACACATCGACCAAGGCCTTTGTCGGAGAATATTAGCGTCATTAGAAGGGTATGATGGGTGTGGGAAATGAAGGCCAATTTTTGAAGCTCACCATTTTCTGTGATGTAAACGACCGGGTTTCCATACCGCGTTCTGATACAGTCAAGCTGCTTCCGCATTCCATCTGGGTAGACGTAAATCCAACCTACCGCTGCTTGGGGTCCGATGGGAACTCCGTTGCACCTCGCTGCGAATTCAACGAAGCGTACTAGCAGGTCAGTGAAGAGCCGGGGAAGAAGATAAATTCGACATTGACAATCCAAATGTAATTTCATCGTATGAGGAGCCAAATGGAATGAGATCACAGCCAGTAGCCACAGTAGGTCAGAGACGAAGCTGCATACGTGAGCTTGTGACGTCGTTGTTCTCCACGCTGTGCTTGTCGTAAGTTGCGAATTGGGACGTGTACTGATTCAAACCAAGGAAATCAAGCGAACCTTTCAGCAATGCGGATTGCTCCTTTGTGAATCTGGGCAACGTCTTTCGATGGTCAAAGGCGCGCATGGAGGCTGGGTACTCCCCGAAGAAGAGAGGGTCCAAAATCCTGCACACAGATAAACAGATTGCAAATGTTAGTATATGTATGTGTGGTGTGTGTATGTATATAATATGTGTGTGTGCATGAGAGCGTGAGAGCGAGGTAAAGACAATCACTTACCAGCCAAGCCAATACTCGTTAGCTCTGAGCGCAGCGTCACGGTCTTCGTCAGTATCCTTGCACGGCTCAAACCATGACCCATCTTCGATGAGCCCAATCAAGCCTTTCTGCTTAGACTGATAGCCAAAAACAGTTGAACAAATTAACACGTAGAAAATCACGAGAAAATTGTCCATTGATCAAGAACCTGCGAAGAGTTTTCTTTAGAATATTGCTACATTTTCAGAGGGGTTGAGAGTCTGACCTGAAACTTCATACGGTAGACGCTGACTGCCAAAGCGTGAGCATTCAGAGCATTGTGCACGACAAGTGGCGGCTCAACATCGGAGTCTCCAGCGAAGCAATCTCCGGAAGAGGCAGAACAGCGGCCTGGCGGGCCAATTCCGAAGCGGTACCCATTCATGGCGAGGATATGGATCTCATTGAACGTGATCCAGTACTTCACTCGATCGCCGAACAAGCTGAAGCACAGTGCGGCGAACTCAGCAAACGCCGACGCTGTGTCCGCGTTGCGCCATCCCCCAGTCTGTTCTAGCGCGAGTGGCAAGTCAAAATGGTGGAGCGTTACGAAAGGGACTATGCTCTGGCGGTGGAGCTCGTTGATGAGTCTGTTGTAGTATGCCACCCCTGCCGTGTTAATGAAGCCTCGTCCGTGTGGGAGGATTCGAGACCAGGAGATAGAGAATCGGTACGCGTCCAAACCGATATCCTTCATGATCTTAACGTCTTCTTCAAAGCGATGGTATTGATCCACGGCGATGTCTCCCGTAGCATTGTCCTTCACCGTCCCTGCAGTGGAAATCAGAAAGAAGAATTTAGCAATGTGGAGCTCCTGCGAGAAAGAAATTCTTGTTCTGCTCTCCTTGAGCTAAGAATTGCCTGACTTGAATGAATTTTTTCCCACCTGGTCTTTTGGCAAATTCGTCCCAAATGCTGGGCCCTCTGCCGTCTTCCGCAGCGGCGCCTTCATACTTTGACAAACAGACACGTGAGAAACGGTTGGTGAATTTTCCAGACATGTCGGTGTACAAGAAAACCTGGCTCGAAGTATAAGATTGCGCTAAGAAGGGATGAGATGACTTACTTGGTATGCAGAGGCGCTGCTTCCAAAGACAAATCCTTCCGGGAATAGGCTACGGCGCATTACGCCTCCCAGTTCGGAGCTTGTGTTGAGCATCAACTTGGACGTCCAGTCCTTGTCATGGGCGCCATCTTGTGTAGATTTGTCCCCACAGACCAGCGTCAGCAACGAGAGGTGGGTGCAGACAGCAATCAATAGCATGATCTTGACCATGATGAGATCCATTCAGTGACACTAGAGCTTGTGACAGGCCGCCTTTCCTAGTGTTTATAAGAATTTGCAATCATAGAAAACGAGCTATTCCTTCAAAATCTGCACTCAACAGTCACATTGTTCAAGAGTTAACGAGTTGCCTTAGAACTGTTATGCAGAGCTAGAGAAATTTGCACGAAGGCGGAACAATTCAGAATTGGCTTCGAATTTCCGGCTTGATCCATCGGAACGGTCGCCAAGCTCCATACCGCACCCATTTTACTCGTCAGCTTGAACTAAGAATCTGATTCTCTTTGCAACTGGACCACTTCTGTTGCGAAATTTAGTGATACCACATATGGAGATGAAGAGCTCCTAATTATGCCTTCCGGGTAAAATTAGTTCCGCTGGAGTGCAAGCATTTTTCACGCGAAGGATGTGATGAGGATCTTAAAAACACGAATTGTCCAAATCCCACAATAACCACTCATAGAATCAACAACCAGGGGGATATCCAAAGTCTAAGTATTTTCCCGTCAATCAAAACCTAATATTGCCCTTGAGTTCGAGTTTTGAAATCCCACACATCAAATTGACCAAGTGAGTCGTCAACAATTCCTGTATGAGTCAGAAATAATTGCAATGCCAGCGAATTCGCAACATCTCTCTTTCTATCTCTCGCGGACGCACGCTGCAAGTCACAATAGACTCAGCATCACTCAACTGAAACTACCAATAGGAATGAAACGAGTCCTTCACCTTCCCTGAGAAATCATTCAGCATAGCGATCGTCACGATGCTCACCTCGTCTCATAAAAAGAAACAAAATAAACCCAACCTCAGCACCGCCCGTAAACCCAATTCCCGCTTGAACGAATCATATTCACAAAACCTCAAATTCAGTGCTAGGAACTCAGGAAAGGAGCTGATCACCACACCCACAATGATACCAAACTTTAGTGATTAGCCAGGGGGATGAAGTGGCCAAAACGAAGTGGCCTACTACACGAGCAAGCGAACCTCACAAACCAACCCTAGAAGACCCACTACCCGGACAGTTGCGTGCACAACTGCATCAACACTGACAAGAGAGCAGTTGAGCAGATCCAACGCACTGAGACACCGAGAATGGACCCGTTGGCATGGCAGAGTGGGAGACTGATGCGCTGCAATGGGGGAAAGCAATTCTGACCCGTCTTTGAGCTGGATTTTGCAAGTATGGCCTGAGTTCATCGTATGTATGCGAAGTGGTCCCAGACAATAGCGCAAAGGTGGCAATGCACACTAATGACACGGACGCACTCCTTATGCAATCTCTTTGAAAAAAACCAAAAGGTGGGTCCAGCTCCAGTTCTTGCTCAACCCTCAATCTCTGGGGGCCATGGCGAGCGATTCTTCGGCTAAGCCTCTGCTTGTGCGGGCACAGATTTCATTATACAACAACAGCTTCAGTAGCAGCACCTCTTGCATGAGCCATCCTGGGAATGCAGTCAGTCGCGGGACTCTCAGCGCGAGCTTTCGAACTGCGGGCGGCGTCAGCGGCAGCTGCCGTTTTTCGTTGCATGCGGTGGTTTGCTTTGGTGGATAATTTTGGATACCCACATGGAGCAGCCTTCGGTGGAGAGCTTTCAACTGATTTAATTCATCATATTTGTATATTTGTACAATAGGGGGTTCAAACATGGCCTTTTTGGTGATTCAAACGAGGCCCTTTTGGGTGATATTTTGCACTTGAAGTATCTCGACTTATTTCAAAATATCACTTGATACTTCACCAAATCACACTCAACTAGAAAGGTGAGTGATTTTGAAATCAAATATCAAAAGAGGGTCCATACCTCAGCTCCATATCTCACTACCTAACATCATGCCTCCTTGGCTTTAAGATAAAGTTTGAATGGTGATATTTTAGATTTTATATTTTGAGTGATCCTAGAAATATCAAGTGTTGAATTTAGTTATTTGGTTTTGCAAAAGTGCCATGTTTGAACCCCCTAATAGTGTGATTGATTTGTTGTTATTGTGAGATTTAAGGTGAAGGTTAGAATGTGTCTTGTCATTGGAATAGAACTTACTTCAAGAAATTTTTGAATTTGCCTCTTTTCTGGTATTTGTGGTATTTGGTTTAGTTTTAGGTACTTAGTCTCATCCTAATTGATATTTAAATTAGCCAAAGGTAACCATAATCAAAATTTCAAAATACAAAGGCACAACATACTTCATATGTAACTCATATCTTTTTTTTATCACAACACCAATCCTTATGGATATAATTGGAGGTAGATTATAAGATAGAAAAACCATTTCCATAGGATTTTGTTGATCAAAAAGTTCAAATCTTACTTTTTTTTATTTAATATAAATTTAATATGTTTTTTTATTATTTTTATTTTTTTTGTTTTTTGTGAGTGCACATGGATACAATGAAGAAAGGATTGGATGGGATTGTTTTTGTTTTAGGATTTGGTAGCTTCTTTAGAAGGCATCCATTCATGCATGATTCTTTTCATTGCTTTACAAAAGTGTGCATATAAAAGTATATGCACACTAAATGGTGTCCTTCCACTTTTAGTGGATTTCTCATTGATTTTTTTGTACTTGTGTATGTATGTATGTATGTATATATATATATATATATATATATATGTATGTATTTTAAAAAAAATATTAGTAAGTTTAACATAACTTTTATATGTTTTTTTTCAAGCCCTTTGAATGGAAGAGCTTCAAGCACCACCATAGTCTCATTCTATTGGGCCTTTCCACTTTGTGTACTCTACTGCTTTAAAACATTTGAATGTTTGAGAAATCCTCATAAGTTGATGACTTGAACTACTTGGAAAAGTCCAAAACTTAAATTAAAATATTAAGTTATATGATTTTAATAAATTATATATATATATATATATATATATATATACATATATGCACACATAAAATAAGTAACATGTTTAAAGAAAAATGATTTATCAACTAACATGTTTTTTGAAATGAAAAAAGAAATTTAAAAATCCAATATTCTAGTTGTACTAAAGTGATAGTGGACTTGGACTTTGTGTAATTTGGAACTTGGATTTGGGGAGTTTGAGGACTTGGACTTTTGGGGCATGTAGATGTGAACTTTTGATCCTTTCTTCTCCAGAAAAGAGCTTTTAAAATCAAAGGTATTTTTTTAGTGTAACATTTGTGCTGTGAGGTGGGTGTGTTATCCAACCTTTTAAGGATTGTGACTGTTTTTACATTAGATTTCTTCCTTCGTAAAGCAATAGTATTCTCAATAGTATATTGAGCTACTTGACGTGATCATTATCTACATGGTCTAGTTATGAAATATTGAAACACAAGCCTTAAGAATTTTCACGAGTTAGAAAAGTGGAGATAATAAGATTTTATGCAATAACTAAAGATTGACTTATTTGGTTAAGCCAAAAACTGTTATACAAGTACAATACTTTAAATTTAATTATATTATAATATTTTGATCATTTTTATTTTTTTATTTTTTTTATTTTTTTTATGAAATCGGAAAATCTTAGGGCTGTGATTTTTGCATCAAGTTTAGGAAAGGAGGCCTAGAGACACATTAGTGTGATTTTTTGAAGTTTATTTTTAATTATAAAACTGGATTATTCTTTAATTATGAAATTATGTAAAAAAATTGATTTTGAAGTAGTTTGCGAATTTTTGCATTGATTTTAAAATAAAAAAAGCTTATTCTATTAAAGTCTAATAATTAGGATTTATAATAGTTATATGAAAAAGATTTGGATCTTTTATTACAATGTTTAGGTTTAGGATTATTTTATTAGAATGGCTAAGATTAGGATTTTTGAGTGAACTTATTAGCATTTAATTGGTGAGGATTAGAATTAATCACAAGAATAAGATTAAAATTTGACAAAATTAAGAATCAAAAGCTCATTTTGTATTTAAAGCTATAAATACGTCTACAACTAAGAATCTAATATATTTTTGAACAAAAAAGAAATATATATATATATTTATATATATATATAAGATAGGCTTGCATCTATTTTTATTTACAACCATGTGACTAATATAATTAATATTAGTTGTATTAACTAATAATATAATATTACAAAAAAGATTTCAATAGAAGCATCTTGATATTTTTCAGAGCAAAGATAAGGGCTATTATTAAATACTATTTTATTATTTTTAGACATCATCAATAATTTTACATGGCCATAAATACATGATGCTTATATAACCTTATAGCCTAAGTAGAAAGATTATTTAAGATATTGTGCTTAAATAAATTTAAATTTCTACTTTAATAAATTAATGTTAATAAGTCTTAATATGTCTAAAAAAAATAGAATTTTATTATACATCCAATATATTTGAAAAAAACCCAAAATCTTAACTTATATAAAAGAAGTTTCATAGATTGTTTAGAAAGTTAAAAAATGTGTGAATGTATTTTATTTTAAATATTTTGAAAGAATTCTTATAATATACATTTTTTCAATAAGTGTATAAATAACATCTTCATAAATAATACAAGAAATAAGATAAAAAAATTTATTTTAGAGATATTTTAGAATCAGTTTCATAAATTTAGTACAAATTGGTTATAATTTTTGTATATTTTTATGTATATAATATTATTTTTTTAATAAAAATAAAAATAGAATTTATTAAGTAAATTAAAAATTATAGCTAATATATTGCCATTATATTATACTTAGAAGGTAGTTTAAGTTGTGAAAATAGTTTTATGCAATTTTTTTTTCACTTTGTGATAATATTTTTGTAAATTATTGTAAAAATTTCTACAATATTTTCATATATATATATATTTTTTAAATTAATTATTTTTTCTTCCTATGCAATTTTTTTTATTAGTGTATGTGGATATTATCTAAAATTTGCCTAATATTATGTAGAATTATTATTGAAGAACTTTAAAGAATATCAAAGTTTAAGGTTTTTTTTTATTTATAATTTTATTTTATTTTATGTGTACTATATATGTCTTACATATTTATTTGATTTTAAGAACTAAAATATAGTCATAGAAAATTCTTGATTTTTTGACAAGAATAAAATCTATTTTAAAATTATCTATTTATGTTAATTCTATTAATAACATTCATATGTTCTTGCCATGTTTAATAATCAATGTTTTTGGTTATAAAAACAAAGAAAAATACTAAGTTGACATCTCTCTTTTACTATGTGGACACTTTCTTTTTACAATATAAATATCTCTTTTTTATTGCTTAAATATCCACCTTTTACTATATAGATACATTACTTTTATTATATAAATATTCCTTGTTATATATATATATATATATATATATATATATATATATATACTATAATATCATTAAGTGTGTTTAGGCAAGGTGCCTATTTGTAAACACAAGTACTTTGATGATAGTGCTTTTGAATTCTACTTAAGTGGCTTTGATTATAGCAGACACTCTATAATGGGTTTTAGGGCAATAGATTCAAAATCTTTTACAAACAAAAAAAAATGTAGTAAATTTAGAAATTATATGCACAAAAATAAGACTTACTTGTAATATAACTACTCTTCTTTTTTCAAGCATCCAACAAGATTTTTTTTTATCTTAGTTATTAGAGAATAAAAAAAGAAAGTATTATAGAAAATATAGAGAAATTATGAAGGGAAGAAATTAAGAGGAGAAGAAGAGAGATAAATGTTGAAGTAATAAAAGAGAGGTGTTCGCCTAGCAACTTCTAAAACAAATCACCTTTACTTACATTTTGTTTTAAATTCTACCTACTACATATTTTGTTTGTGAATCTAAGTAGCTTAATAAGATTTTATGGCACTCTTACTTAAGTGGTAATAAATCTTATAATGTAGTATTATGACATGGTTATTGGATGAAAGAAAATAAATATAGATTTTATTTTAAGAGAGCTTAATTGAAGAATATAGTAGCAAAGTACTTTAGAAATATATAAGTAAAAAATAGTAAGGTACTAACTATATTTGATTTTAATGCTTCTTTTTTTATAAAAAAAAACTTCTATATACTTTGTAGGGCTATAAACAAGACAAAATAAGATTGATTAGTACAAATAATATTGTAAGCATCATTAAGTAGAAATAAAGAGTAGTTTTTAGCAAAATTTATATATAAAAAAAGAGATTAGTACTTATATAGGACTTGTTATAAATCAAGGTTAAAACTAGATCTTGAAACATAGAACTGTGTACCTACGGCAATTGCACAATTTTAATGTTGATTATAAAGAAAAGTTAAGGAAAAAACTTCATAAGATTTGTTAAAGATTTGATATTAAGTAATTTGAGTAGATATTGACTTTATGAGAGTTTTATAAAGTTAGGGTTGTTTTAAGTAATTGGAATTTCTTAAAATAAAAATGGATTAATATTTTGAAATATTCATGAGCATTTTGATAGATCAACAAGTAATAATTTATAGAATTGAAAATTTATTTGTTATAAATATACTTTATGAATTTAAAAATAGTCTTATAATTAGATCAAAGGCTATTTAAATTCAATTGAATTAAGATATTGGAAATTTTATTTTAAGAGTCAGTAAGGATTTATATAATCTTAAGCAATACATAAGTTGGATTAAAAAAATTATTTTTGAGTTGATAGCAAACTTAATTTATAATGTTCTTGTAGATATTAAAGGCAAGTTAATGGTGAAATAAAGAACTATTTTTTCTAATAGATTAATATTAAGGTTAGAGAAGAAGGACGACACCCTTCTCTTATCTTACTGTTGGCCTAGCCAACACTCAAGTAGATTAGAAGCTTTTTGTTGTAATTTCTAAGTTTAATTCTTGTTTAATTTTATATTCTTGTTGTTAATTAATAGATTGAAATGTGTGCAAATTTTGAAGCAAGATAAATCATTAAATTAATAATTATTGAGGTTTTAAAAATTCTATAGAGTTTTGTTAGGATTTATTTAGAATTTAATCCGGATATTTATAGTATTTTAAGGATTCTACTTAGGATTCATTTAGAATTTGATTACAATGTCTTGTTAGGATTTGTTAGAATTGGATAAAGATGTCTTTACAGTTTTATTAGGATTAAGTACCAAATATATTCTTAAACAAGAAAACATGTAACACAACAACAATGAATTTCAAGGACTAAGACTATATGCTTCTAAGTTAAAAGGATATAGAAGGTACTTTTTAGATCTTAATCTAAGACACATTCTCGCATAATTGATTTATAGTGAATCTTTGAATAAAGTTGAATGAAATAGCTAGAATGAATAAGTTATTGATTAATATTGGCTAAAAAACAAAGAAAAATTTAAAGATTATTTTAAAAAAGATAACAAAATAATGATATCATATAATAATTGTTAATAAAATTAATATTTTTAAAATTTTTTCTTAAATTTTTATATAGTTAGAATGTTAATAAATAACATTTACATTGTATTTTAATTAAAATATTTTAAAGAATTTAAATTATTACTTAATTAAATAAAAATGACTTATTAAAAAGATTTGTTTTGATATTTTTTGTATATCATCCTAAATACACACATTAATACTAGTAATTACTAAAATAAAAGGAATTAAGTAGAAGGAAATAAAAGTAGATGAATTTGATAATATCTTATAGAAAAGCTTTTTAAAAGCTCCATAGACGGGAATTTGACTTTACAAGTATTTGTTGGTAATTGATAGGTTGATGACTTATCTAACAATTTGGCCATGTATTGTACATGTTGGTTATTTGTGATATAAGTTGGCTATGTGGTGTATATATTGGAAACTTACATTGCAAATTAGACATGTGTCTTGCAAATTGGACATATGTCAAATGACTTAAAAAACTTCGCAACGTAGCTCCTAAGTTAGATAGTCCATACAAAGGAAAGAATAAAGCTTTTCTCACTCTTATCAATGCCTATTTTGTTCTTAGTCTTATTTCAAGAGTCTTTAGTCGTCTCATCTTTGCGAATAGTCATTCTAGTTTTAATATTACAACTATCTTTAAGTGAATATTTATTCTCTTCTAGTAATACAAGAGTATATCAATACTTTGGTAGTTTTGTGATTTATGTCCTTGAAATATATACAAAGTATATTTAGTAGATAAAATTTTGCTTTTGAGAGTTTTAGTTTCTTCAAACTAACTAATTAATAAAAAAAAATTAATGATATGTGGAATTTCACTTGAATTCAAAAAAATACATAATGTAATACTAATAGTTTCTTTAAGTTTTTTTTAGTCAAGAGTTTATTTTTATTTTTATTTTTATTATTATAAATTTGTGCTTTAACTTTAAAAGATAAGACAACAAGATTAATAGACATTGATATTTGTTAATATATATCTATTTTGTTGAAGTATTAATTTGCATACAATGTATCATGATGTTTTGAATATGAGAATATTTTATTATTTAATTTTAATACTATTAAAGAATAAATAAGATTGGTGAAAAGAACAAGACAATGGAAATATTTTTGAGATGAATCTCTTGTAGAAAGAGAATCAATGTGATGCTTGAAAGATTATTATTATATGTATAATATAGGCTACTTAAATTACATTATCACTTATGAAAGTTTTTTCATTAAATAGATAGTATATATTTTGAATATTAAATTTACGATTATTTTCATATTTCTATTAGAGAAGAAAAAGTCACCAATACATAATATTTGATCAGCAGTAATCACTTATGAACGCATATCAGTTTAAATATTATAATTACTCCAAGCAGAAGTCAGTGGCACGATTGGAATCTCGGCGCTTCGTCCGCCGCGATCCCGATTAGCGCTGCCGATTTCGTCGAGCACTTCTGATGAGACACCTGCTGCTGCAGTGTTGATCTCGACAACAGACGAAGCCACGCACTTGTGATCGTCTCGCGGTCTACGAGACCCCAGCGTCCCACTCGCAGTTTCGCCCTGACAATGAACAGTTCGATAAAGACCAACTTTCCACTGATCGCAGGGCTATCGATATGTACGTGATCGTTAAGAACCTGTGAGAACAAACACACGTCTGCAAAAACCCATATCGTGAACTGCCGGTTCGAGTGAGTAACACTTGGTGGGATTCTGTGTTAAATCATCAGTCGGACATACTTGGTAGAGGAAGCATCATTGTGTCGATAAGCGAGATCTGCGATACTCATTGCCACTGCAGAAACCTGCAAACTAAGGTCTCCGGCAGGCAAATCCAACTGTTCAACCTAGGAGCTGGTTTCTCAACCACACCCGGTTGAAGCTGGGTCCGAGCAACTCTGTGAGCCTCTAGTTTGCCTCCTGGTAGATCGTGGATGGTGATGCGCTCGCTCTCGCAGCAATCGTCTGTATTGAAGGTGAGCTTCTTCGCTGCTATGCTGGTTTCTAATGAGAATTCCTGATGCGCCCAGTGCAAGCCAGTCTTCATTTTGTACTCCTCTCCGATGTCGATGGTCACTAGCTTTGAAAAGTGATTCTGGTCTCGGACTCTTAGCGTCAGCCTCTGTTTCGTCTGGTTGATAATTCGAGTGACGAGCCTTTTCTCCATTCGATGATTCACTAGATGTGTGAGGACGAAATATCAACTGGACTATTTCCCGATGTCTTGAAATTCAAAGAAGTGTATTTAACGGTAAACTCTGCGACGCTTTCCAATTGCTTGTGACTGTGATTAATATCATGCACTCACGAAAATTCAGCAAATGAAATTCCGAAAGACTACCAAAAGTATTCAAAAGCAACTGATTGAAGAAGAAGCGCCACTTGACAAACACAGAGTAAGTGAAGCCCAATCGTCCGAGAGACGATACAAGCAAAACACTCCCTCTCTACACTAGCTATTGCGCAACCTGTGCCTTCAGCGGGTCCAAGCGAATCTGTTGAACGAGTAGTCTAAAATTTTAGTCGGGCAGAAATGCACACTAGCAAAATCTTGCTTGTAGCTTCGGGTAAGGGTGGCGTGAAAGTCCACAACGGCAACCCCGTGTTGTCTCCGTCATTGACTGCTGCGTGTCGAAGTATGCTTAGATGTTCCACCGATGTAAAGAGCTAATAGCCCCTCTTGTTTGCCTATCCTGTGTGTGGATGTTGTGTTGAAGCTTCGATGGCTTCGTTTAGGGTACGCAACCGAATGTAAAAGTCAAGTCGCAATAGAGATTTGCAGTTTAAGAAAATGATAATCCAAATTCTTTTGAAAACAGTAAGGTGGCATTGACATATTTTGCAGGCAAATTCGAGGACCCACAAAATCGACCCCAGTTAATACGTGTGGGACCCAGATGGTTATTTTAACATAGTCTGCAGAGGTGGAAACTTTCGGAATCGTCAACGGAAAGCTTGCCATGGCATCCCGATTTGCTCACTTCCGCTCTTAGTGATTCCAAGCTGCTTCAGCTGACGGAGCGATGGCCACGGACGAGGCAGCTCATGTGGCGTGGCGAGTGAGGACGCTGTCTCCCTCCTTCTCCCGGGCATCATCTTCCTCTCTTGACACAGCCCTGGTCGAAGAATTTGCGCGCTTAGAGCGCCGAATCTTTCCCAAGCACGAGTCTCTCTCGTCGTCCTTTTCTCAGGTGAGTCGTCTTTTTCCTTCTTTTTCTTCTTTGAGTTATTGAGGATGAAAATTGAAGACGTCGATCTGTTTTTTTAGCTTTTTAATAGTCCCTGTAAAACATTTTATAGCATTTATGCGGTAAGCAGTGATATTTGTTAGGCCTTGAAGGTGTTCATAGGGTTTACAAATTTCGACCGTCGCTGTTTGTCAATTTACTTCTGCTCTTCTCCAAGCTGCCTTTCCCAAGTTATCTAGGTTGTATCTCTAACTTTCATCAGCTTTTCCGTTCTGGCTTATCTTCGTTTCAATGGTAGAACTCGCTGGGTTCTATCACTGGCTGGTGATTTCCTGAAGCTGTACCGCAGTGAATTACACGCTAGGAAACGTACTGCCCTAAAAGGTGACCGAAGACAGCATCGGACAGGCAATTTTAAATTCGTGAGGAGTAGGTTAAAGCTGAAGCTGTCGAAATACTTGCTGGAAACTTTTGACCTAAGCTGAAATGTTATAAACAGGAAGTCAAAAAAAGGAACCAAACCATGCTCTACGTTTTGATAGGCGATGTAGTTAAGGGCGAAGGAGATACTGAGGAGACTGCCGATCCAGCTAAAGTTGCTGGTTATCTTATGTATTCATGGACGTCACTTGCAGCCTCCATTACTAAACTTGCAGGTATTTCGTGGGTTTTTCACGTTCCATTTCAGTCGTGCATACATTTTTTTACCTACATCTTGGACCGTGTGTTTCAATGAGCTCAACTACGGAACCTAATTCGAGATTCGGGTGAGCAACCGTGATAGAATCAGGCCAGACTGCCTTCACTGATAATCGCTATTTGAAGTACTTGCAGTAGTTACTGAATAAAAAATCAATGTGAGCTACATTCTAACAAAATAGTATATATATTTTTTGCGCCCACATGTGATTCAACTCATTTCTTTATCCCATGAGTGGAAACAGGTTGCTGACCAATGATGTTGTTACAGTAAGGGAGACTTGCCGGAAACAAGGATATGGTGAAGCACTAATAGATGCAGCTGTTCAACAAATTCGTGATAGAAGGCTTCAATGCGTGAATCTTCACGTAGACCCAGCTCGTTCTGCTGCTGTTGCTTTATATAAAAAGAAAGGGTTCTACGTAGAGACAACCATCAAGTCATATTATGCTGCAGATCGGGATGCTTACAGGATGGTTCTGCAATTAATTTCTCCGGAAAACCAATGAGTAAGATGCTCAGGGAAATCTTATTCCTTCTTGTACACAGCTGAGAAGATGCATCAGATATCTGCTTCTTTCATCATATTGTTGACGATGGTTTCTCAAGCTCTGGACTTTGCCCCCGTTGAGGTACTTCTGTGCGTGTTGATGCCACAGTTGGAAAAGTGTCCCATGTATCACCTGTAAGATTGCTGAATTCAATGTCACTCCTAATGGTGCTCTTACTGGAGCCTGTGCCACCTACTTTGGTTTCTGTCGTTGAAGAAGATAGTGGTCGCGAAAACGACAATGACTGCGAACTCCTCTGAGGTGGTCTTTCTGCCTCTTGCAACAAAGGCTCTAAAACACTCACTACGTACTGCCAAAACCCAATATGATGTTAAAACTGTGCCCGCATACAGAACATAGGTCCTCTATGCTGCAAAAGTGAAATCGACTAATGTTAACGGCTGCATACCTTCATCGTAGGTCGAGTTTGTCTTTCAAAAGATGCACATTTTAATGCAAGATCAACCAGATATTTAAATATTCTTTTTGGATAATCTCCCTCCAGTCTAGGATCTACTATGCTGTGGAGTGCATCTTGACATGCTTCCATCTTCGCCCTTGTCTGGACACAATATTAACAGTCTCAGGTGATTACAGCTCCTGAATAAAGAAAACTACCTCACAGCACGTTTCTAATGGTTTAATTGATTTCATCAGATGCATTAACTAAACTCGTTGAAAATATTATGAACAAAAAGGTCCCAAGTAATATGACCTCTTAAATTTCTGCTCTTTTCAGCTTATTCAACAATGTTAGCAGTTATAGACATGAGAATATGCTATTGTACAAAAGGCTACCAAGGTTGAAATGGATCATGCCGTAAATCAAAAAATAAAATCCATGACACATCCCCATTCACTGTTTTAGAGCTAAACGGCTTACCCATTCAACAATATTAGTATCCTCCTCAAGTCCATCAGATTCAATCGCTTTACGGCCGGTAATGAGCTCAAGAAGAACGATACCGTAGCTGTAGACGTCACTGGCAGCAGTCAATTGTAGACGAAGGAAGTATTGAGGGTCCCAGTACCTGAAACAACATAAACATGCAGCTTACATATTTGCAGCAATTATCGGTACAACAATGGACTATTATGCGAACCACTGCCAACGAAGAAAAAGAAAGTTTTGTTGAAAGGTAACGATGGGTACCCTGCTGTCCCCACTGGCCTTGTAGACACATGAGTGCCCATCTCAATCGTTTCTTTGGATATACCAAAATCCGCCACTTTGGCTACAAGGTTGTCATCAAGCAAGATGTTGCTAGGCTTCACATCCCTGTGAATGACAGGGGGGTGCTGTGGAGAAGCCAATTCAGGTGAAAGTTTTAATCAGTAAGTTCCAATTATACACAATTATACACAATCTTCTGGAAATCGCATTCAAATCTCTCCGAAGTTTTGCCAAATATTCAACGTTGAGCCACGTCCTAGTGGAATATTAAACTGAAATAAGAACCAAATCAAAACGAAAACGAAGTCTGAAGCATAAATACATTTGTTCATTATATATATATATATATATATATATATATATAAATCAATTATTTGATTGTCTATGAGACAAAAAAAGTACCGCAAACGAATGCAAGTAGTCTAAGCCTTGAGCAACATTGACAGCAATCTCCAGACGCTTGTACCAGTCCAATGTCACGTGCTTGCCTGCAATAATGTACATAAATAAATAACTAAATTATCAACGAGCATTTGGAAATCACTGGATCACTGGATCACTGGATGAAAACATTTGGAAATTTTAGGATTACCAATACAAAAATGATGATGATGAGACGTCATACTCTTCCACATGCAATCAGATAAATCAGTGATGCTACTTAGAAAGGTGCCGCTTATACCTTGAACATTTCCATGGAGAAGATCGTGAAGATTTCCCAACTTCATGTACTCATATACCAAAATCTACTCAGACCCAACATAAAAGGGATTAATCAGTCTGGAAGGAGCTTAAATTTCTTTGTATCAGAGTCGCAGGATAGGCCACTGCTCAATGCAGGTTGAAATATGTCACAATGCTGCTAAATTATAGTACATGAAGAAAGTTCTGGGAACATAATGACAATATATAGATGACACTCAGCAGGCTGGATATGAACCTGCTGACCACCGTCGTCGCAAAATCCCTCCAGTCGTACCAAGTTCTTATGGTGAAGCCTGCTCAATAACGATACCTGGTGGAACAAAACGAAAAAATCCATGAATGTCTTCCAGTTCCTAAATTTAGATAGAAAGGTGCGGTACAAGTTCGTTCTAAGCATTTAACTGAGAATTATTTCAAATGGGTGATTGGATCACTTACCTCATTTCTGAACTGTCCACGGCCAGTCTCTGACGAATAATCGGCAATACACGCTTGTTTGATTGCAAGTGAGCGTCCACAAGGGAATTTTCCTACAAAAACTTTGCCGAATCCACCCTCTCCAATCTCATTTGCCTTATCAAAGCGGTTTGTTGCCTTTATTATCTCCTTGATTGAGAAGTGATGCACACCCCCTGGAGCTTCCCAGGATTGGGACAATGACCTCGTACTACCTGCCAACCTCTCAATGCATATCGTTAGCTAAGTCCTGTCCTCACGTTAGGAAGAGAACTCAATTGAAGACTTCAAGATATAAAATCCAGCTATTTTGAATGAATCAGTCCTCAAAATTATTTTGCAAGGCGGAGAGAGGTTGTAATTGCAGCATGCATTTCTCACCTCCGTTCTCAATTTGAAAGTAGTCGGGATGGGAAACTGCTGGTTGAGATTTTCTTGACTTCTTTCTGGCTCTGAAAATGAAAAAAGCCACCACGAGAAGTAGGAGGAATACACCCCCTACTACACCTCCAACTATAGCAGCAATTGCCAACTTCTTGCTCGAATTTTCAGGATCTGCAAGTTAGAATTTAGAGTATGTCAGAGGAATAGAAGCGTTGTCCCACACATACTATCACTTATTTTTGATGTGGCACAGAACAAGCCTCAAGTGAAAAGATACCATCACAATATTCAGTGTTTCACAAGATGAAGCTTGCTCGATTTTTCAAGGAACCAACCTCGAAAACAGATGCATGTCGTGGTGTTGACCATGTGCTGCCCGCTAGGACAAACTGGACATTTTCCTGCGCTCAATTAGCCAAATAAAACTGGATAAGTATATCTTCTCCAGAGAAAACTTGAAATAACCCTCAGATTATCAACATCCTCTACCGAAGCTTGCGTCCAGAGAAATTACTCAACTTATCATGTGGCAATTTTAGATTGAGGTAGGATCAACGTACAAGAGTTCTAAGCGAGTCCATGAAAACTAGCAGTTAGAAATTACAAGTAAGTCCATGTACCGTTGCTGACAGCGAGTTGAAAATTTAAGCAATTTAGGGCTCTGACACAGGCGGAGTCCAAAGAACCCTCGTTTTCCCAGCAGTTATAATCAAGCGCCGCCCTGTGATAATTAAGATCATGAATTCAAGACCTCAATTCTAAACATATTCGAAGGGGAAAAGTGGACACTATAACGTGGTTTAGAGCCTTCAAAAGCAAAGGGAGCTCATTGAGGTACGAGGCACGGCCTACTCACGTGATATTGTCGATTTTTGGCCGAACTCCTTCCAAGTAATTGCAATCAGCATATCTGCAAGATCAAGAAGACGACGGCGTGGCCTGTTATTTCTTGCTGATAAAACTTACCACACCAATCTTTGTGGAGGGGTAAATTGGTACCAGCAAACTCCACCACATTTAATGCCTACTACTTACAAGACTCACAAGCAGAGAAACAGAAACAGCATGTTCCCATTTCCAACTTTCCAAACAGGTAAGACATTAAACAGTTCGTCTAGGATCGTCATTTCGGAATACTTTACTTACAAGTACTTCAAACTGGGCGCGGTGCTGATGTTCAGAACTGGTAATGTCTGACCACTTAGCTGATTATTGCCGAGTTGCCTGTATCCCAGTGTCAGAATCATGTCAATCACACATTCTTCTTAATATTATTTCAATCAGAAAGAAGTAATACATTGAACAACTGTGTTAATGAGTTTCCTAAAAGAAAATAAGCATCCTAACCAAGCATATGTACGTATCCTAGGCGAGCAGGAGAATTTATCTGGAACAGTAAGCCAGGGTCACATTAACTTACAATATTTTAATTGCAGGCATTTTCAGCAGCCACGAAGGAAGCCCCCCGTACAAATAATTGACATTGATCTCTCTGCATCGCATCAGGAAAAGTAATCAGAAACTAGTGCAAAATCAGCTGGAACTCTAAACTTGATCAACCACGCTTTCAAATTAACGAACGAAAAATCACAAAAGTTTCCTCTAATTCAATGCAAGGGAAGGTCTGAGGAACCATACAGATCTTGCATGCTGGTCATTCCACGCCATGTGTCTGGGATAGGCCCTGTAAATGTATTCTTGTAAAGAAGTCTTTCACACATTCCAACACCATCACATGCCGAAAGAGCGTCAGTTGAGTTACCCAGTTTTCCATGTGAGCTATTAATCTACGGACAGGGTTTTGAGCTCGATATACACATGTTGATCAAGGAAAGAAGATTTCGTAACTTACAGCTTTTTCAGAAGGGTGAGCTTTCCGTATTCCGGAGGAAGACCACCGTAGAGATTATTCTTATTCGCGTTCCTGCAGTTCGTAGTGTTAGCAATTTGTCAACCATTACAAGATCCAAGTCAGGATGGGAAATCACATTGCAGTCATTGCAAAGGGAAGATTGACTCACAGGTAGGTTAGATTGACAAGGTTGCCAAGTTCGGGTGGTAACACCCCGTTGAGACTATTACCCCAGAGAGACCTGGAGAAATTGCTAATTCGTCAAAGTATGTAGATAATCTAATATGCAAGCAAAATCAATTCACACTGATGAAATCACACACTGCACAGATACCCACGTACAGTTCCTTCAAGTTTGTTAAGGAGCTTAGCGCGCTTCCAGGAATGGTTCCTCCAAACGAATTATTTCCAAGGTACCTGTTCAGCAGAATAAAGAGTAAGAATCCGCTCATGGCCTGAAAAGCAGATTGAGAGGACACACTGGGGCAATACTTTTGTAAAATTGAAGTGTCCATCGTGCTTGACGTACAGATATTGCAGGTTGTGCAGAGTTGAGATTCGCAGGGGAATTCCGCCTTCGATCAGCGTATTGTCAAGCCTCCTGTGGTTAAGGAGACAACGAAGTCAAGTTGCAAAACCTAGAAATTTCATTATAACTCCGACAACTCCACTACGTAATGGCACAGAATGCTGCCAGTACAGAACGATTTTTGTCAAGGGTGCATGCCACTTACAGATCCGTGAGTTTCGTGAGCTGAAATATAGCTGTGGGGAACGTCGAAAGAGATAACTCATTCGATGTTAGAATCCTAGATACAGCCACGAGAAACATCATGCACAAAAAGTAACCGGGTCACAGAGAGCAAACCTTCTATATACTTCGAATTGTGTGAGAAAATGAAAAAGATACTTACTCTCTGGAAACCAGGATTTAAAGATATTCAAAATGTAGTGAAAGACTCACTCACAGTCTTTCAAGGTTCACCAGAGTCCCAAGAGCAGTGAGGTCGCCTGTCACACGATTCCACGGGCCACAGCCTTCACATGTCTTGTCATTTCCCAAATCCAAGTATTTCAACAACGTAAGTCTTCCCAAAGCAAGTGGAATAGGCCCTCTTAAGCCCGTATGTGTCAAGTTCCTGGCGAAAAGCACCAAGTACTCGTAAATATTCCAGTGTAGTACTCCGTCATATGCAGAACACTTCCAAAATGTAAAGCATAGTTCAGAGGATTTAGGGCTGATCTTACAAGGTGATGATGTTGCCCATCGTGTCACAATCGATGCCTACCCAGTGACTGACACAAGGGTCTGTTCCTGGTGTCCATGAAGTAAGATTCTGGGTTATCCATCCGGAGTTTTTCACTTCCTGCAAGGCAATGCCTGCCCACTACAGAGTCAGCGACATCAAACTTGTCCTGATCATCAAAACCTGAATCCTCCAAGTGCAAGATGATTTCCATGGCCTGCGATATTTTCAGAATTTGGGCAATAAATTCCTTCATTTTCTACTTCATATAATTTTCTGAAAGTTGCCACAGATCTATGGTTTTCCCAAAGAGTTGTAGGGAAAAATTCTTGCTAAAACGTCGCGATTTATTTTTTCCCCTAAATTCTACATAACTTTAAGAACCCAAAACTTAGTTGGCCATCCCTGGGATCCTATTCGGAATATGAGGCAAGAGAGTACCTTGTTCTAGAGTAGCATGACTTAATCTGCAAAAGAAAAAGTTGAGTCCCAGGAACAGGAATATTGACGAGAGAAGCTTCCTGCGCCATATCCTTGGCATAGCGTCCATCTACAATCTCACATGTTACTGCTATACACAATCTCCTCACCCTCAGTCTGAAAAATTCCTGGAATTTGGATACCTAAAACGTTCCTCTTTGGAGTTAATACTTCTCATTCCTAACTTCCACAGCTGCATTTTCAGAATTCTTCCATAATCGAGTTCAGCTGCTGATGATGATTCCGACTACAAGATCGTCTTGCTTCAGCAATATTCGAATCCTGAATAAGACTAGAAAGCCAAAAAGAAGCTGCTAAATCAAAAACTCCGAATCGGGATGCATCAGGCTCTCTGGTTCACAAACTATCACTAGATGCTACCACATAACTTACAACACGTCGTCTCCAACCAACGAGTGATCCTCATCAGAAGTTTGAAACCTGTAACCGGGCACATGCTCCCCTGTGTGGTTAACCGGCCGTTTTTTTTTGTAGTTCGTGGTCGTGCCTTGGCTTGTTTACCACCACAACAATGTCCTTGAGTGGGTGCGTTCCATGTTCAAAACCATGGAGTAGTCACTACTCTGTCTATACTCATCTAGACTCTGGACCGAGCCTGTGCGCCTATCGAATACAAAATCGTCAACTACACGCCAAAACTACGTGCTTAGCTTCTGACGTGACTCTCTCCACGAGCTGCATGAGGGAGCTAGAGCCTCATCAACTCAACCTCTCGATTCTATGGACCAGCAGAGCTCTCACCTGGTCACAGCTTGAAAGATGAGCTGGACTTGTGTGTTGGGAGTCGGAGCTACGCGAAACTTGCTGCCATTGAAGTGTATGACTGACATTTAGAGGCAGAAACAAGGCTATCAGGAGCGCGGGCTCTTTTTACGTCAGTTGACATGAGCTGTGTCTTCACTAGTTTGTTGCCTACACCCTAGCCTTAGCTCACTGTTACTCACACATCACACCACAGAGTTTCTGAGTTGGCCCAATCTAACCTGCTGCCTACAGCTACAGAATCTCATTCTGTAGATGCTAAAGCTCTCGACAGGTTTAATCCTTGATCAGGACAAAACAATCCGACGTACACTCAGTATATGGAACTGGGACTGTTTGTGGGACAAGCAGAAGATTGCTTGTACTGTCCAGACGAAGATGTCTATGGTTTTACTCCTCCTTTACTTGTACTGTCCAGACGAAGATGTCTATGGTTTTACTCCTCCTTTACTGAAAGATAACGAATCTTTTGTGAGTGGAGCTGGTGACGTGGAACCAGGACAGTTTCCAATAGTGTACCAAAATGTCAAACAAACAATGGTTACCCGTAGTAGCCAGGTTTGACCTCCTTTAGGACAGATGAGAAAAGATGATGTCTTCCTCAGTAACATCTGGCCTGTACAAGCCCAAGAAATCAACCTACGAAACAACGCTCCCCACATCTTCGAATTTCGGATTCTATAGAAAGAAATATCTCAGACCCTTTGACTATAGTGCATCCGATCAGCGGCAGCCAGTTGACTGCAACTTAAGCCGATTTTTCGATCCTCAAAGTGATTGACAGCTTGGACATTAATGATCGTTTCGCGCCACGGCTCATCAAGGTCGTGATCCACGAGTTTCTTCGTCAACGACCTCCTGCCTGGAGTGTGACGACTTGCCTGCCATTACACTGCTCATGTCAACTGAATGCTCTGCTTCGGTTGATGCACCCTCACTACTTCAGTCCTCTTATCTGCCGATACCCATCTAACGGGAAAGTCTAGAATTCGGCTGCCGTCGCAGCGAGGCAGTGCCTTCGGTGAACATCTACATACGGTCTGACCGTTCCCGTGTGTGCGAATTCAAACCTGGACGACCGCAGAAATTGCAGTAACAAGTTGAGGAGAACAGACGGCTGGAAAGAACGCTTGGAAATAGAAATTGACGCAGTCGGAAGGATTCGTGTGTAGTGCTAATCTACACTAAACTGAAGCTTCCGAAACTGGCATCCAGCGAATAGGCCACCTTGGTCGCACAGACAAAGCATGATTTTCATATGCACAGAGCGAGAAAGTACACATTGTGTTTAACCGCGTGAGGATCTGCCGTACCCACGAGTTCAGATGCGTCAGGTCGACGCTCCTGCACCGTTTCTAGCAACGACGCGAGGCATTGCGCCGCACTATCCGTTCTCACAAGACTCTTCTGAGGACCTCCACAAGATGATGCCGAGCATTTCTTTCACAAGTCTTGTGTTAAGAAAAATCAACCTTGCTACGAGAATGTGTATGGAAAAATCATTCAGAATTGGTTAAAGTAGTGAGAAATGTAATGAAATCTCGCAAAGGGGGGGGGGGGTGAGTGGTTTTGTAACTGGCATGGTTTTCACAATATTTTAGGGTTTTCACCCACCAAAGAAGTTTCGGTGAATAAAAATCAGGCGAAACACATACACGTGAATGGTAGGCTTAATAACATAATTGACTTGGAAGTGTGTGGAAACTGAGGGAATTGCATGCATAATATACTCACAGGTTTTTATTGATAAGATGTTTTTAACATTCAAATATGTATAGTAATATTTTTTATGAAAAAACATCAAAATGTATGCATTATGCCCAAGTCTAGAATACAACACCTATATTATTAAAGAATGTAGTCACAGATCAATTCAATTCAAAAAGAAATCAACTTTTCTTTTACACTACTCTTCAAATATTGTAAGTTGCAAAAATAAACACAACATTTTAAGCTGCTATAAACATAAAGTTACACATAAAAAATATTTCCTATTCTTAATTTATATTACAGTTTTAATAATTTTGTATAAATTAGGTTTGAAATCAAATAATAGATTTTGGAATGATAATTGTGATTATATTGTTTAAATCAATTGTAACAAATTAACAAAAATAAAATTATCTTAGTCTATATTTATCGATTATAATACAATGTTTTTATCAAATACCATTTTTTTTCTAAAATTATAGTTATTAAAAAATGTTGTATTTCTCAATTTTTAGTTTTATTTTTTATAATGTCATCTCATGGCTCTATAAGAAGACCTTATTAGTATCTATAGTTAGGTGGTAATAAGGTGAATGTATTCTTTTATTGGCATCATTTATCATCAATTACAAGCAAAGATATTTCTACATATGCATAACCACCTTCACCACCTTAATAGAATATATATATCAGCAAAAAAGTCAACTAATTTTTAACTCTAACACTGTAATTTTTTAGACACCTTAAAGTTATTAATCAAAATAAAGAAAAAAAAAAAAATTATTTCTATCAATATTTTTTATATCCTCAAAACACTTTTTTCTTCACTCGTCTTCACAGTTCATCTTTTTTAGGTATGTTTAAAAAGTTTTGAGTAAAATTATTTTATAATTATTATTATTTAATAGTCATTAAATCTTTAACTTGTTTGAAGATTGCATTCTATCCATATCAATTGAAAATAAAATTATTAATAATTTTTTAATTTATTTTAATATAGGAATTAAAAGAATATCCTACTATATCTATGTCAATTAATTAAACTATACATAATTATTTTTAAATTTTTGATAATTTCAAAAAGATTAGAACATATTGTTATTTTAAGTCATTACAACCTTTAGTTATCTACAAATTCTCAAAATTATTTCCAAATAATTTTTTTTCAACAAAATAGATTTAAAAAGATGAAATTCATAATTAAAGAATATATATATATATATATATATATATATATATGTAATTTTATAGACTAAATAATATCACAATTAATTGAATTACTTGAATAAGTTGAAGTAAATAAAAAGTTATATAGATTAGATTTTATCTAATCTTGATAATTTTAATAATAAATTTTAATAAATTTAATTTTGATTCTAAATTCAAGAATTTTTTTTAAAATCTAAGTATAAAAACTTATAGACTTAAGTAATTCCTTGCAAAATCTACATGATCTAACTTTAAAATTCTAATTTAAAAAATATATAATTCTAATTTATAATATTAAATAAAATCTAATTCTAATCCTTAATCTTACACAAATATTAATAAATCTTAGCATATTTTAATTATTCTTAAATTTAATATATCTAAATTATAAATCTTAATCTTAGGTTAATTCTTTTAAATCCTAAATATAACAAATCTCAATTCTAATTCTAATTCTATGTAAATCTTAGAAAATCACAAATGCATCAAATTCTAATTCTAACTCTAATCTTAAATAAATCCTTAAAAATTCAAAATATCACTACTCAATTGCCGTTGTGTTGCATAAAACCATTAGTCTCATGTTCCCTTTTACTTCCTCACTTTAGTTACTACTTTAAAAGCTTGCTAATTGGGGTATCTTCTCCATCCATAGACATAGTCTTCCTGGTCAACTTTATACTTGTCAATTTCTCGTTCTAAGGCAAACTTTACATATGGATCAACTTATTTTGATGTACTTATACTTCAATGGATTGTGCAACAATTAAATCTAAAATTTTATTTACTATGAGATCAAAAATAGATTTTAGATCCAATTGCATAAATACAATTTGTTGTAGTTTTGACTAGCAAGATAGTCTCATTCAATCTTTCAAGGATTTTGTTTATTTAGTAATTTGCCTAGAATGATGATCTCCATTTTTTGCAAGTCTAGCACCATGTCACAACCAAATGAGATCCCAAAGTACTATTAATAGACTTATATTCACTATGTTTCTCAAGTTGCAACTTCAAACTTGAAAAGAAGATGACACAATACTATCCCCTTACAAAATGTGAACAATGGTCGACATAAAATAACGACCTAGCAAACACCACAATACAAGATGACACAATACTATCCCCTTACAAAATGTGAGCAATGGTCGATGCAGTTCAAAGACCTGGCAGTTTGGTGGATGCAGTTCAAAGAGTTGACAACATTGACACCCCCCCCCCACGTGGATATTGGCCATTGTCTTGATAACCAATTCTGTGTAAGAGTCAAGCAGTAAAAACATAGAGCTCCTGTAGCGAAGATGATGAGTTGTTTTCTCTACGTTTTCTGCTTGTATTACTTTGTTGAGTCATTCTACGCCACAGCGGGCTTAGTTAGAAGGAACAGTCCCAGTAAGTTGAGTGAATGCAGTCAACATGGTATCAGAGCGAACAACGCAGTAGAGAGAGCGTCGCAGTGAAAACTGATCGTTCAAAAGGAAATGTAAATAATGGATACAGTGAAAGCACCATCAAAGATGTTGGCGGGACCAGAGAACTACAAATCATAGAAGAGCACGATCTAGATTGTATTAGAGAGAGAAGACTTGTGGGAGGTAGTAGCACCAAACGACACAACTTCTCAAGCACACAATGCAGGGACAACATCATCCGATAACGAGGCATCATCGAACACAGCCACGGCAAAACATGAATTGGAAGGAACAAATGCATTTGATGGTGTAAACAACATCAATTCAAACATTACGAAGCAGACACCACAAAAACGAGAGAACGTCAAAAGAAGAAGAACGAGAGCAATGGACTTCATACAACTTTCAATAACAGAAATGGTACAGCCATATATCCCAATCATAACCGATCCTGAAATTGCTTGGAAAACTGTTGCTAATCTTTACTCAACGCAAACCATCGCAGACATTATGAAAACTCTTGATAGATAGAAAAACCTCCAGATGATGGATGGAATGTCGGTGTCTGTATTTATGCAATATGTGTATTGAACAACCAAAGAGAGATTAATGAACTACCATCAGACATAGTGGTAGTTCACAAAGTGTTGAAAAGTCTTCCCGCAAAGTTTGAAACCTTTGTAAAAGTTCTGAAATCGGAGAGGGTGACTCCGACCCTGGTAAGTTTGGCAAGCTGATTTCATATGGAAGAAATTGAGATTAATTTACGCACAAAACAAAGCGAAGAAGCGTTCTCATTAAAATTCAAGAACAACGTTGGAAATAGATATCGATCAGCTATTGGGTATAAGGCGTTGAGCTCATCCAACAATTTCTTATTGCATGACAACACCTCAGTATAAACAGCAGTTTAAATCAGTGTCAGAGCGGCTGTGTCAGCGGTGTGGCAAATCGCGACACATTTCCCAATT